GGGTTGAAAAGTTCTAGTTTTTGTTGTTTACAAGTTGGCTGATGTAGAAACAGACAGCTATGATATTTTTAAATGTTCTTTTTATTACAGAGGATATACTGCTTCAGTTTAGGCTGCTTTTGTCTAGTATGCTGATATTTCCTTTCAGAAAATGATGTGGACAGTAAAGCTGAGACATAATCTAGTTTATTTTAATTATCCTAAATGATCCTGTGGTGCAAGAACAAGTGAGATAACCGGCTGACACCTTAAGCCGGAGCATACACAGTCCAAGTCAAAGAAAACAAACCTGATACCTTTTATCGGTTAGTCAAATAAGAGGCTGCCTTTCACTTTATAGCCCTTTAAACCTCGCAAACAAACACAAACAAAGGGGAAAGAGTGCAGGCAATCTCTCTCTCTCTCACACACACACACACACACACACACACACACACACAGATGTGTGGCCAAACCTAAACCTAATTCTAACCTCGACTCTAAAACCAGCCAGGACCAACTGAAATGTCCTCACGTTTCCGAAAAAAAAAAAATTCACTCTGATATTCTTAAGCTCAAACTGGCTCTCAAAGATAGTTGCACAAGTATACACCCACACATGTGCACACTCGATCCATTATCCATTATCTTCTACTCAGCAGAGACTCTCCTACATGCGTGCCCACACACATAGCCACGCTCTAAAAAAAAAATCCATTCGTTCTCTTTGAACAGAAACAACAAAGCAAAGACGGGAGCTGGTCCAGACGGAGTGGCCGCGTCTGTTGGCCTCCATCTGGGCAGACTTTGACTCCCCTTGTGGCCTGGATCAGAGGAGTGAAGCCAAGCAGAATCTCTGTCCTCTGTCAGATGGATGAAACCACTTAGCAAATTAGCAGGCTTCCCTTCCTGGCTTTACGACACACACGTGGACGGACGTGGACACACGGTGCAAACACAGACTGTAAAAGCACACGTACAGGTGTGTGCAAGTGCACACATCTGCACGCACACACAAGCAGGGACGGGGCGGTAAAAGGCCAGCTCTGGAGAGACTAGCAGGTCTCGAAACATGTAGAGGCTGGAGAGAGAAAAAAGTGAGAGGAAAAGGGGGAGTGAGAAAGAAGAGAGGAGCATGAAGGAGGTGAGAGGAGAAGAGAGGATGATGAGGAGAGGAGAGGAGAGGAGAGGAGAGGAGAGGAGAGGAGAGGAGATGGGGGCAGGTGAGGAGGTAAGGGTGCGTCCTTGTGGAGGGAATGGCCACTGGGCAAATTAGTCTAACACTGAAATCCAGTCTGTTGAAGGCACCATGTGGGAGAAAGAGAGAGGAACATGATGGAGGGGGAATTGCCTGTGGCACGCACCCCTTTTACAGGGGTCAGCACCAGTACACAGCAACTCAAATGTACAGACACACACATGTATTCAACCCAGACACAGTACTTTCCTCAGACCAACACATTTTTTTCAACAACATAAACTAATACGGTATAAATCCACACAGGCCGGCCTCCGTGCACATTTTAAAGTCATCAAAGAAACAGAAACATGGCCATGATCACATCATGTGACATCCGTGCTCATCAATTATTTATACAAAGAAAAAAAAATCCACTCAAACATGCATGCTAGACATGAGTGTGTATGTGTGTGTGCCCATGCATGCTGCGTGCATCCCAGTGTCCAGAGAAGCACATCGGGGAATAACGGACACATGAGGATCAAATTGATTAAGGCCGGAGTTCTTAGCAGTAATACTGAGGATTAAGACAGCTAATAAATGTTTCATTCAGAGCCAGACGTAGATCAAACGTGAGAAAGGCCCCCGGCTCGCTCTCTGGGGTTAGTGTGATTCTGCTCTCTTCTCTCCTCCACCTCCTTCAGCTGTTGGTTTTCAGCTGTATTATGACAGCCACTACAGATCGCCTCACTAGCAACTACAGGCCCTGCCCTTGTGCCTACACATCATTAGCTATACATCTGTCAGCTTCCTAACAGGTTCCCACTAATGTGGCCAAGGACTCACTTCATTGCATTCCTATCCAGCAGGCAGCAGAAGTAAACACCATCCTCTGTCTGATTCAAAGCCTTTCTTTCCTTTGACTTCAACTTCTTTATTTCCTCACATTCCTTCTGATGTCTTTCACCTCATCCCTTTTTCTTGCATCCTCTTTGCCTCTCTCTCTCTCTCTCTCGTCCACTTTTAACCTTTCCACTCCACTCCTCTCACCCTCCTCTTCATTCTCCTCAGACTTGTTCCCTGAAGTATCTGGTGAGATTCAGGGCTGGTGCCAACGGTCAACAGGGATTAGCAAGAAAGGAGGACGGAGAATGTGTGAAAACCAGTTAAGTCACACACTTTACAGGCCAGAAGCTCTCTCTCTCTCTCTCTCTCACACACACACACACACACACACATAGAGAAGCACAGATAACTCACACATGTGCACAAACCCAAGCAAGCAGGCGCAAGCTGTTTCTGGCATGGCATGCTCATCCCTCAGCACACACGCACTGTCCGGACCCCCACAACAATATAAGCACACAAAATCGATATAAATATTCTATGTGTTGCAGCTCGAGTGATCTGCGAGCTTCTGCAAAAAATGAAGTAACATAAAATGCATTTACATTTGCGTCAGAATGCATGGAAGGATGTAGTGGCTAATGCTAGCCACGGTGACACTGGTCTTGGCAAATGGGCTGTGTGGCTGCGTGTGTAACTCTATCTGTGGAGGGGGAATACAGCAGTGGTTGGGTAATGGAAAGGTCATTTAGCCAATCCCCCAGGTAGGGGGGCTGGTCTGACACGGCTCGTTTGTCACAGTTCAATAACTGCCACTCCGGGGAGTGTGAGGGAGAGAGAGAAAACGAGTGAGAGAAGCGTAGGAAGTGTGTGTGTGTGTGTGTGTGTGTGTGTGTGTGTGTGTGTGTGTGTGTTCAGCCCCTGGCAGCACAGCTGATTCCCAGGGCTTGTCCCTCCATTTGAGGCCTCAAACGGGGTCACAGCGAAGGCCAAACACCACGGATTCAGACATCTTGATGTGAAAACTTGTAAGCTTTGGCCTGGAAGCATTATTTTCGCTCTAACTGGTAGATGTTTGGTTTTCCGACTGAATTGCTACTCTTCTGTTGAACCCGAAGATGGCCACTCCAGAACCATGGATGAGCTTTAATCAATAGCTTCTGATTGAAAATGAAAATCCGTATTTCCTGACTCAGAATTTTACACGGTTAAATATTGTTTAAATTTATATTGTAAATGTTGTTTTCTGAGCAATATATGGCAAAAGAATATTGCTCAGGATGAATGAAGTTTTATCTTATCTTTTCTTATCTTAGCCAGGAGCAGACTGCACATAAACATGAAGAGTAGGCTGTATACTATAAATATCCTTTCAGTTCTGAGGAGACATTAAAAAAAATAAAAAACTCAGTAGTTATTTTGAAATGTTTATTTATTGGAAATATTTCTTAATAAAACTCTAAAACTAGTGCTCAAGTGCTTGCTTATAAAGATCTGACATTTTTACACTCTTAATTCACATCAAATGAAAAATGGAATTCTCCAAATCTCGAGATACAGTCATTTAAAAACACACACACACACACACACACACACACACACACACACACACACACACACACACACACACACACCAATACGTAATTGACAAAAACTCATTGGATTATACATAAAATAAATGTTTTGGAGATACATTGCCTTCACAAGAAAGTGACAGACAATATACCATTTAAAATAAAAATTGGTAATTAACATCATTTGTCCATCCAATTTGATGCATGCAGCTCAACGCGTTCAACCATTTTAAGAAAAGTACATAATTCTAAAATACATGAAAACGGTAAAGTAAGACCAAGCTCCATTATTCTCGGTTGGCCGTATTGATTTGTACTGTCCCTTTAACATGTCGTTAGGTGTGTGACAGAATGATCCCTCAGCTTTGTGAGAGAGCCAAAGATTTTCACACATCTCATTGAGCGACTGGTGAGAGACACCACAGTCTGTCCTTCTCCTCACTTTGAAAATCAATAATAAGCTTTTCTGTGCTCATTCACGTGTCGCTGTGTCTTCCCTGAGAGATGCCCGAGGCACAGATTTGTATTCATCCCAACTGGAGATGAGAGAGATTTGGGGTTTCATGTCTGACCCCCTGTAGAGATTTAAGAATTGTTGACTCTGTGCAATAAGTGGGTTTGATCCCATCTAATAATACTGCTACCAAACACAGCCTTATAATGTTGTGGTTGATGATTTACAAAGACTTGTGTCTCCCCCTTGTGGACATCACAGGAAAGTGCAATTGTTTAAATGAAAAATTGTATTCAAAAATTCCATTAAAAAACAATAATTGTGTATATATGGAAATTCATGATCATATATTATTAGAAATGATATGCTGCAATTTTCCTTTTGCAACTCACACTTTGACAACATGTCAAAATAAAAAAAGGAAACTAATAAAGGAGGGACTGAGACAAACAAAATTTCAAAGAGAAAGACTAGATTTACAGCAAAGCACATGCCTTGCTGATTTAATTCAAATAGATTTGTGTGATATGAGTGTATTAACCCACTGATAAAGTATTATTACACTGATTAAGATGAGACAATCATTTGGTATGCAACATGGCAAAACTGGATGTTACATAGCAGCTAGTAAACCATCAGTCATCCACCACAGTATTACTCACTTCAGGTGTGATTAAAACCACACTGTGCATCTGTGTGGGTTTCTCATTGTTAATGCACAAACCAAAGCAGTATTTAAAAGAAGCAAACAAGGTACCAGACTCAGAGAGACACCCAGGCACCATTACCTATAAACAAACGCCTATAAATGAAGCGCTAAAAATCTCTTGCGTAACTTTTAAATAAGACGTGCATTCTTCTCCAAATGATAGTGAAAGAGATGCTGCCTCGGGTCGGGGGGCTGAGCTGATCGGTGTGGTCAGTGACATCATAGGACAGAAGCTCTTCCTCATTCAATATGACTCACTGACTTTGGGCCACTCGAGGTCTTAACTTGGTTAAGTATCCTGCAACCCTCAACACACTTTTTTTTTGTTAAGAGGTTTTGTATTTTAAAGAGAAGTCCTGTCAGTGAAGTTCATTCTGAGGAACTGTGTTCAGCTCAAGGAAGTAACAGCTGAGATGGCCCCTTTGATGTTTAAAGACGCTTTCTGGGTAAGTCTGTTTTTCTGGCGTTGTGCTTTACTGAAGCTGTCCCTGCTGAAAATGTATAAAAACAATAGTACATAATGCATTTAAGGTGTTTTGGTGCACTCACATGTGAGGGGAATCAACTGTGATCTAATCTGTTCATTAAACTGTGCGTTCAGTTTTAAGAACCTGCAAAACACACTAAATTTAAACTGTCACAGACTGCTATTACTGATAAATACATCATATTTTAGCTTTTAGCTGTCATCTGTCATTCAAAATCAGTCCATATTTACATTAAATTGATGTTAAATTATGCCATTTCAGACCAGCATAGACATAAGACGGTATAGAAGTCAGTATGATGTATTGTGAAATGTTGAAAACCGTCGTTTGCTATTACTGCTCTATAATAAATAACAGATAACAAATAGAGTACTGGTCAGTTGTACATGTAGAATATGTTTATGTGACACTTTGAGCATTTAAAGTCTCACCTAAAAACCTATGGGCAGTTTGACGAAGCACTGACTGTGTCACATACGACTATTTTTGCCAAATGCTAGTTCTGCATTTTGACCATGAAGTGGGCCCAGGGTTGACTCAAGGACGTGTTGTAATAGTTGTTGAGCAATGCTGTTTGTTGCTGCATTTCCACAAAGATTTTCTATGTCTTCTCAAAACAGGGGTCTGATTTCACCTGCCACGCCGGCTATGACGCTGTGATCCAACGGCTACGAGATGGGAGGCAAATATGCAAAGATGTCGAGGAGCTGTTCAAGATGAGGTTTGATCAGTTTGTATTTTAGTTGCAAAAACCAAAATGGATTATTAAAGTTCAAAAGTTGTAAAGATTTTGTGAAATTCTTAAAGCCACACATACCTAATTTCTTTTCCCACTGTGTAATTACCACCATGACACAATGAATATAATAGTTTGTCCAACAGTTCACAGCAGAATCACAAAACCACTGAATTCTTTGATTTCTTTGCAAAAAAAAATTGTGGGTATTGCAAGAGATATTTAAACTGTACCTTTCAATCATTTAAGGACATAATGATGATGTATTTTTATCAGCTTCCAGAAAAAAAGGAATCTCTTGTACTTATATGAGTAACCAGCTTCTGTAATTAGACATACACCCACTGGCATAGATCCACCACACATCTGCATCACAGCAGGTTAACAATTAAGCAGATTTTTTGATAGATTAATAAATTAAGGCTTAATACGTCATTTGTTGTCATAAATTCCCTACTTTAAGGTGAATCTTCAAATGTAACCGAAACTGACAAATGATGAGTCAGACAGCAACAAAACTAGCTTTGTACCCACGTAATTGGTTTAAAATGACATAAAACATGAGTCTATTAGGTGCTTGTTGTTACTTAATGTTGGCTTATAAAACAAACTCAGCCTTTCTTCAGGTGAAAGAGCAAAGACACCAAAGGTTCAGCGGAAATTAGGTGAAAAGTACAAATGATAATATAGAAGACAAAGTGCAGCATATGCAGCTGAAACCAGAAGTTCACATACACTGTATAAAAAGACACATAACCTCATTTACTCACTGTCTGAGATTAAATCAGACAAATTTGTTCCTGTTTAAGTTCAGTTAGGGTTACTAAAGTTATTTCTATTTGCTAAACACCAGAATAATGAGAGAGAGAAGTATTTATTACTTTCTGCAAAGTCAAAGGTTTACATACATTTCCTTAGTATTTGGTGACATTGCCGTTAAACTGTATGACTTGGGTCAAACATTTTCGTTATCCTTCCACAAGCTTTTCACAATAGTTTACTGGGACTCTGGCCCATTCCTCCTGACAGAACTGGTGTGACTGAGTCAGGTTTGTTGGCTGTCTTGCTCCACACGCCTTCTCAGCTCTGCCCACATATTTTCTACAGGATTGAGATCAGGGCTTGGTGATGGCCACTCCAAAACATTGACTTTGTTGTTCTGAAGCCACTTTGTAACTAATCTGGTGGTATGCTTAGGGTTATTGTCTATTTGGAAGACCNAGGTTCAGCGGAAATTAGGTGAAAAGTACAAATGATAATATAGAAGACAAAGTGCAGCATATGCAGCTGAAACCAGAAGTTCACATACACTGTATTTAGAGACACAACCTTATTTTTTCTCACTGTCTGAGATTAAATCAGACAAATCTGTTCCTGTTTAAGTTCAGTTAGGGTTACCGAAATTATTTCTATTTGCTAAACACCAGAATAATGAGAGAGAGAAGTATTTATTACTTTCTTCAAAGTCAGAAGTTTACATCCATTCCCTTAGTATTTGGTGACATTGCCGTTAAACTGTATGACTTGGGTCAAACATTTTTGTTATCCTTCCACAAGCTTTTCACAATAGTTTGCTGGGATTCTGGTCCATTCCTCCTGACAGAAATGCTGTAACTGAGTCAGGTTTGTTGGCTGTCTTGCTCCACACGCCTTCTCAGCTCTGCCCACATATTTTCTACAGGATTGAGATCAGAGCTTTGTGATGTCAACTCCAAAACATTGACTTTGTTGTTCTGAAGCTACTTTGTAACTAATCTGGCGGTATGCTTACGGTCATTGTCCATTTGGAAGACCTGTTTGTGCCCAAGCTTTAACTTCCTGCTGATGTCTTGAGAAATTGCTTCAATATTTCCATTTTATGTTCTTTCCTCATGATGCCATCTATTCCGTTTCACTGTGGATAATGACACTCTTACCAGCTTCAGCAGCATCTTCTCAAGGTCTTCTGCTTTTGTTCTGGGGTTGATACACACATTTCGCACCAAAACATGTTCATCTCTGGGACACAGAACCCGTCTCCTTCCTGAGTGGTATGATGGCTGGACATTTCCACAGTGTTTATACTTGCATATAATTGTCTGAACAGATCAGCGTGAAACCTTCAGACATCTGGAAATTGTGCCCAAGGATGAACCAGACTTGTGGAGGTCCACAATTCTCTTCCTGATATCTTGGCTGATTCCTTTAGATTTTCCCATTTTGTCACCAAAGGAAGCAGTGTGTTTGAGGTGTGCCTTAAAATACATCCACAGGTGTGCCTCCAATTAACTCAAATGTTGTCAATTAACCAATCAAAAGCTTCCAAAGTCATGACATCATCATCTGGGCTTTCCCAAATTGTTTGAAGGCATAGTAATCTTAGTGGATGCAAACTTCTGACTTTAAAGAAATGGCTAAAAAATTCTCTCTCATTATTCTGGCTTTTAGCAAATAGAAATAATGTTGATAATCCTAACTGACCTAAACCAGGAAAAGTTTCATCTGATTTGATGTCAGACAGTGAAAAAAAAAAAGGTCATATGTCTTTTTATACAGTGTATGTAAACCTTGGGTTTTAACTGTATGTATCCTTTTTGTTAGGAAAGAAAAGAAACATATAACAGAGTTCAGTTTTACAATTAAATACTAAAACACAAATTCTGGCATGCAGTGTAATGTGTCCTCTCTGTCTACTCGTACTAAACAGGGCTCTAGCGGAGGAGAAATATGGAAAGGAGCTGGTGACTATCGCTCGCAAAGCTGGAGGACACATCGAGATCAGGTATAAAACAACACTTAATATTCAAAGCATTTTGGCTTTGAGGTCTGGACTTAATATTGTATATATAGACTGTACAGCTAACACAGAAATATGACATATTGGCCACAAATGATAATAATAAAACCTGCTCTGGTAGGTCATGTGCTCATTTTGTCAAAATAGTGCATGATGAGATTTTTTTATTGCTGAATTAAACCGACCTGCAACATGAAACAGGAATCAGGCGCCTCTGAGTCACCTCTTAGTGTATTTGTTAGACAGATAGAAAGAAAAAAGCGCTGTTTTTGTAAGTACAGTATATAAGTGTGGGTGGGTGCCAACTACTGCAGCTCCCCGTCTCTCAGTATACAGAGTCTGTTGTCAGTTTCCTGCCCTACCAAGAGGATATTCAAAGCTGCTGTTTTTTTTTTCTTCCTTTTCTTTGATTTACACAGTAACCAAGGTTATATATAAAGTCTCGGGGGGTGACGGACAGCTGTGTCAAAATAACCTTTTTTTATTTTAAAGTGCTTTGGTGGACGTGCTTAGTCACCAACAACGCTGTAGTGAGCAATCAAGTTGAAATGAGCTTGCAGGGTGCCAAGTGCATGAATCTAAAACTGTTGGATGTTGTTTTGAGCTTGTAAAGTTAATCCACGTCTTTGTAAAATGAAAAAAAAAAATAAAACAAAAATGCAGAGGGGTCACTGAATGATCTCTTATCGTTAACGTGTGTTGTTTTTCCAGCACGTTGAAAGCATCCTTTGAACAATTGAAAACACGTAAGTCCATTTGCACAATGGAAGAATTCTGATCAATTCGTGTTTTCAGCATCAAATGATTCACCTTTGTCGCTTGGATGTTTTTAATTATAGAAATCGAGAACATTGGGAACTTTCACATCCAGCTATCTGATACCCTGAAAGAGGAGGTGAAAAAGATTGAGACATTCAGAGAACGTCAAAAAGAACAGAGGAAGAAGGTACTGGGTAATTTGTGTTGCTTAACAACTGACAAAGGTGTGAGGTTTGAGTGCACTGATGGCAGTAATGCAAAGTTTCTTGGCTTACTCTGATTATTAGTGTACATTTATATAACTAACACGGCAACTCTTTAATTGTTCCAATAGCAAGTTACCAGTTCAGGAGGTACAATTGTGTAGAGGTGCCATCAGTGTACAGCTGGTATAAACAAGTGTGCATGGAAACAATACACGCAAGACGGGATCTTTAAATTTCAACATTTCTGTTTCTAGTTTGAAAGCATCATGGAGAAGGTTCAAAAGAAAAAGGTTTCATTGTTTAAGAAGACCATGGAGGTAAGAACAAGCTACCAAAAAAATGTAGCGTAACTCTGTTTATTTTTCATGTGAAGTGACTGATTTGAAGGCGTATGTTGTGATCAGTGCATAAACTAAACGTAAAACATTCATGAAATACAGATGTTTTGCTGTGTGCACAAGTACATACACTAATATGGGAACATTGCATGTACGTACTGCCTTTTATTCTCTCAGTCTAAGAAGAGCTACGAGGTGAGATGCAAGGAGGCTGACGAGGTAGAAGAGGGGTCTGAGAAAGCAAATGCTACATCCAAAAGCTCTGAAAAGGTACAATACATACATAAGTTATCTCACAAAAATAGAAACGACTCATTTTGTAAAATAGCTGCCACCCTATTTAGACTAATGCAAACTTTTATGTTATTTCATTGACAAATTCATGACCCACACCCAACAAATGACTGTTCTGTTCTTCAAGTTGATAACTGATAACAGGGCAACAGCAGTAGCAGAACGTTTTGTTTTTTTTCTCACAGTTATGCAACAGCTAGCGGAACTAAAGTACGCTCATGCGCTGCTGTGACATCTTTCATGTCCTTTAAAGTACATATAATGGTGGCCATACCCCAAATATATCTAATTATACTTCAGTTGCTATGGTTTGTGTTTGACACATTGTCACATGTCACTGTGTGTGTAACATGGTTTTCACAGGTACGTCACAGGATCAAGCAATGCAGACAGGCTGCCAGTGAAGCAGGTATGAGCCAGACTCACTCTTCATCGCATACAGTTTCTATTTTTAACCAACATGCATTTGTAGTTTACTGTATTCATGTGTTTTCTGAATGCAGTCAGTGTTTGTTGGTTTAGATGATACTTTCTGGAACTTCTGGACTGTACTTCTTACATTTGTGTTCATTGCTGTGTTTCATTGTTAACTGTAACCAGCTATAATCATCTATTCTCTCACAGAGAAGCTGTACTTTAATAACATTGTTCAACTAGAAGCTGTTCGCCATGACTGGGAAGACACACACAGGAGCACATGCGAGGTACTGCAGACTGCATTGCTGTTAACGGCTCTTTCATCAAGTCTCGACTGACAGACTGAACCTCACACCACAACTCTTTTAACTCTGTGCTAAACCCCCCATACTGCTGACCAGTGAGGAAGTAAACTTCATCTTGCACGCAGCGTGCTATAAATGGAACAACATAACCACAGTCATGCAGAAACATAATCAGTCATACAAACGTTTGTTTAATGCTTTTTTTGTGGTACTCTGCAGTTTGCATGCGTGCGTTATCTAAAGTGATCACTGTCAGTGTGTGAAGTACAGCTTGAGCGCTAATAAGAAGAAGTAACAACGTGTCTCTGCAGACATAAAACATTATAACTTAGAAGCGGTACAGAAACAAGTGTTTTTTGTGTATTTCAGGTGTTCCAGCAAATGGAGGGAGATCGCATCAGTTTGCTGAGGTGTGCTCTCTGGGACCACTGCAATCACTTCTCCATGCAGTGTGTTAAAGATGATGAGGTCGGGTCCTTTTTCTCTTTATTTATATGAAGAGAATTAGTTATCCGAGCATTTTAACCCACAATGTACCTTGTTAAAACCTATTAAAAAGATATTCTAATTTGGACAACCACCATGGTGACTAGATTACAATGCCATTATATTATATATATTATTGAATTTCCCTTCTGGGATTAAGAAAGTATTTTTCATTTCATTTCATTTCATTTCATTTCATATTAGTCTGGTACGATGATACCACGATGTTGGAACTTATGTTCAGTATAAATGATTTCTCTCAGAAAGACCTCAGCACTTCAGAACCACCTGGTTTTTGCTTGGTATAAAAGTCTTAGTCTTGGTTTTTAATTTAAGCACAGCTTTAAAATTAAATGCAAATGTAATTTTAAAATAGAGATTCACCATCAGAAGAAGAAGAATGTTGGGATTTGTATTGTTCTGGCTGTATTTTAGAGCAAATATTTTTTCTTTTTAAACAGGATTTAATCTGTTAATATTGGGTGTCAGTCTTCTACTTTGGTCAAAACTGAAATATCTGCTGCCATAAAATTTTCTTAATTGTCACTAAACAGGAGATGAGATGGTGAACATTATACTTTCTAAAGTTCAAAGAGTCGACATGCATTGTCACTGTGAACATGCGGATGTTAGCATTTAGCTCAAAATATTAGTGTGCTAAAAATACGTTTTTTTGAGAGCAATCCAGTAAATGTATTCACCCATTAGCTGAATGATTCCGATGAAACAGCTTTCATATGTGCTCATTGTTGTCCATATTTAGCACCAATAACTGTGCTTAAAATGAAAGGCTCTGACTACAGAAATAGTTGACTGATTGACTGATACAAGATCTCTGCACAATTCAGATTTCCGCTTTTTTTTTTTGAATCAGTTGTACGAGGAGGTGAGGAAGCTTCTGGAGCAGTGTGACATTGACACAGACAACGACTGCTTCATAGAGATGAAAAAAACAGGGTCGAGGCCACCAGGTGAGCTCTCACAGTGGGCCAGTCGGGCATTTATAAGAATTGGTACAAGTGTATTTTCCCACAGAGGAAGCTAGTTGTTGACAGTGAAGAGAGAAGTGAGAAAAAATACCACGACCAAGGAACGGGCTTTATAGTGCTGCTCAGCAGCTATTGTTTCTCTTTCAGTTGACACACAAGCAGAAAGCAACACTTCACTTCTCTCATGAGCAGCTTCTCTTCTCTTTTCACAGATCCAGTAATGTTTGAGAGCTACTACCAGACGGGGACAGGCAGGGACAGAAATGGTCGAGTTCATTTTGCAGAAAGAGAAAACATAACAAGGAGGTGCGGCACAAGTCATACAGGAAGAGTAACAGGAGGGGAAAGCCCTGAGCAGAGCAAAACTGTTGCAGCAGTAACAGTACAAGATGACCTCCTGGTTCATCATCAGCTTTAATAAAACTTTCTATCTGTCCTTTTTTACCATTACAAAAGAATCACATGCAGCTGTTATTTGACCCTGTGGGTTTGAATCTCTGGACACCATCTCGTGTATCTTACATGTCTGTCTTGATCTGGATCACACAGGTGCTCCGACCCTCTACTTGGAGGCTCTGTGAGCTTCAACAATGACAGCCCTCAGAACTCACGACCAGCACTGGCATCTATTGGAGAGTGTAAGTATTGCAATCCCTCGCTGATGTATTTCTAAGGATGAATAACAAAAATCATCATCAGTACATACAATAGTGAGCTTTTTGTAGTCTTGCGTGCTTCCAGTGGATCTTTTTAACTGAATGTGGATTCACATATGTGAAATTGTGCCTGAAAAATTTGACTTTTAAAGTTTTACAAACACAGCAGTAGCTCTGAAATCAAAAATCAAATGAGCACACAGCAGTAAATCTTTTCTCTACAGTTGAAATAGACTACATACATCAGATGTGAAGATAAAATACATACTGAGGAAGTGTACATAGTAGCTTCGTTACTTTCGAACCAATAAAAAAACAAGTTAGGAGACATCATGAATATATATTTGCAATAGACGAAATTCAAAGGTCCCGTATGGATGTCTTGTATTGATTTCTAAAGGAAAGCTAACACAACTGTCTGCTTCGACTCTGGTTTCAGTTCAGATTTCAGATGGTGGGTATGCACCTCTGCCAGGCCTCCAGCCAGAAGCACCTCTGCTCACAGCCCCAGTAAATGATGACTGCTATGTCGTGCTTTATGAATACAATGCACAGGTATCACCATTATTTTAACACATTGATAATAAGAAGGTGGACATTAGCCACATTTGCCAAAGACAGTAGCTATGATTGGAGATTTTGTAGTTATTCAGGTATTTGGTTTAGTCTGTCTGTAACTAACATTAGCCTTCTTTACTTTGACCGGAAAGGAAGATGATGAACTATCTGTGAGCAGAGGGGACGTGGTCCAAATGTTGGAACAAGGAGAGGACGGCTGGTGGAAAGTGGAAAGGCGTGGGATGACTGGACTGGTGCCAGGAAACTATCTGGGCAAAATATAAATATGCAAAAGGACACACAGTCATGTTTCTATCACTTAGCGGGACATGAATCTACATTTATACATTCATTCATTAAAGACTTACTGTAAGCCTGACCACAATTTGCTCAACCCTGATTCTAAACCAGTTTCATCATGAAATGTAATGATTTACGTTGTAGGGACAAACAGATTTGTGTCGACACAACTTGAGTAATACGAGGACAAACACACACATACATAAATAAGACAATACAGGCACGTACTCCCAGAAAAATGCCATCACACACTGGATACGTTTAAACACACAGAAGTACTGCGTCAAGGGCAAATAAACATGTATAAAAACACACCACACTGATACACACATCTTTGTCAGGCTTCCTAGCTCAGTGCTCTGTACAATCATTGCTGATATTCAAACTTGTAGATTTTCAGACCATAAATTGAAAATCTAGCTCAGTTTACTCGGCAGTAGGTCATTTGATCAATTTACAAAATTTAAGATACGTCTTCATTCATCTTTATCTGCCTTTTTTTTTTTGTTGTTGTTGTTGTTGCTATGTGCACCTCTTTGATTACTGGTATTATTATTTATTTAATGTAACTCAGCCATGAAAAGATATTCTAGTGAGACCGTGCTACCTCATGTATGGTACGGATTCTTAGTGTTTGCTGCCTGGTACTTCTTCTCACAGGACTGCAGAATGTTGTCAGAAAAAGCACTGCACTTGATGTGATAGATCAAGTTAGGTGCTTAAGATAATAATAAAGCAGCCATTGTCTGCTTGTGCTCACTGTTGCCTTGGATCATTACTGTTTTTCTTTCTCTTCCTACTTTTTGTTTTTCCATTTAGAAATTCTGACTAAATTATTAACAAACTGTGTAAAACTGTTGACTTTGGGAATGTAGCACGTGTGTGTGTGTGTGTGAACTAGGGAACCAGAGTGGCTGTTATATATACTTTTGTAGATGTCATTATCTATGACTGCTGGATGGATCATAAGTTCCTATGAAAACAGCTCATAAGGATCAAAATGTAAAAATAAGGTTAACTAAACCGAGGAAACTATTAGCACATAAACATGTACAATACATTTCTCATATGACAGATATCAGTACAATCAAACACAATGTGGACGAAGTCAGAAATAAAACAATCCGGTTGAAATGTATGAGTTTATTTGTCTCCTGCTTGTTCTCCAATCTATACACAATTTGTTTCTCAGATTTTTTTTTTCTGCGGCACTAGCTAAGTATCTACGGGGTCAACTTAAAAGCTCAAAAATATTAAAACGATGCACAATTTCACAAAAATGTATAAAATAATGTGTTGGGAGTTCTTTGCATCAGGTTTATAACTAACAATCAAACTAAACAAAAGGGATCCTGTGACCGTAACAAACTGAATCTACATATACACGTCTTCAGGTAACACTGATGATACTCCTACTAATGGCGCTGGAGACCAAAAGGTTGATTCACAATTTATATATTGGCAATGCCTCACTGGAGAAGCCGGATTCAGAGAACAGCCACACCAAAACAGAATGTACATTATTCACAACCTGAATACTTGTGAACTTGAAGAACTCTTTCTAACAAACATGGCTTTAAAACAAAAACGCAGAGCTGCTGAAAATAATCCAAAAAAAAAGAACTGTTCTTATTCTGTCAGCGCCAATGAAGTCTAGCTTAAACACTGACCTGTATTGTTGTAACAGCCGAGATCAAAACCTTGGATCTATACTAAGGTAAAAAAGATTTTCCATTTTCACAAAGTCTGGTCAAACCAGGGAATAGTGTTCATGTCTACATGTTCTTTTTAGCATACATTATGCATTAAAACAACCATGAAATATCTCCAGGGCTCCAGCCGTAGTGCAAAGTAGCACACAAGGAAATACATTCCATACAATACTCCTAATCATATTTTCATGTAACAAACTCCAGAATACTCCTCCTCATCCTCACTGGGAATGAACACAAGTGTGATGAAGCCATAACTAAAAGAAATAAAAATCTGCACCAACATCAATAATGTCAATAAGCCATATACAACTTTGGCTTTTATAAGTATTTCAGCATGTGTAAGAAAGAAAGAAAAAAGAAACATTTAAAGTAACTTTAAAAGCATGTCAATAAATAACTGGTTTCCCCTTGAAGCCCCCTCCCACCCCAACCGCATCGTCAGTGTTCGCTACTTTATCATGAATTGTGCAAGGTGTGCTTGAGCTTATATAACTACAGCTGATATCTACTGTGGACATGTCCGGTGACGCTCCTGTTGATTTTCTGAGTGCTCTGTTGGCTGGCTTCATGCGTAGCTGTTGGTGGTGACCAGCAGCTCGTACGCCGGGTCGTGACTCCTCCTGCACAGCACCACGCAGGCACAGAGCATGCCCAGCATCTGCAGGAAGACAGCACAGGAGCCAAAGTCAGCTTCGGCAAACTTAACAAACAAACGTACGTGTGAATCTGACTAAGTAGCAAGAACGATAAGTTGTTTTTAAAATCTAAAAGGAATAATCGGAACAGAACATATGCTGTAATGAAATTTTGTATTCAGCAGTTGACAACAAGCATCCTGATCTCCTGGAATGTTTCTTTTCGCAACAAGGAATTGCACAGCACAACAACTATCATCTTTCTTTACCTGTATACAGGATCTATGTATGTGAGATCAAACTCTGATAGGCATCCACAACAGATAATTGGTGTTTTTTTTTTTGTTAAGGGACTTTGTGTTAACTTCCAAATAAGTGGCTTAACTGCAGATTAGTTTAAGATCTATCTGAACTTCCCCTGCCCTTCAGCCCTGTAAGTCTTACCTGTATGGATGCAAAAGTGAGTGCAGCCCATATGACGTACATCATGATCTCCTTTAACTTCTTCACAACAAGAGCTTCACAACCCTAAGACAGAAAATAAATGGCTTTATTTTACCGCTTCATGCCCATTTTTCACACGCAAATACGAATAGGGAAAACTATCAGAGAACCTTTTGCAGTTTGAATCTGTGTCAGTGGTTTACCCACAGAAAAACTACAGCGCTTCAGCTACACTTGCTGTGCGTACCTCTTGGTAGAGATCTGCTGGTCGAGTCAGAGTGCCTGTACAGTTGCTGATGTTTGGCTGGCAGCAGCTGACTGGGACGCTGTTGTTCTTGGATTCTTTAAACCAGCGGGTGTTCCTCCAGTCAGAGTAGTTGTGAATGCCGCAGCAGTGAAGCTAGTGGTGAGAATGGGGAGTGAAATATATTCATTTAAACTCAACTGTCTGTTCACATGTGAGTTTTAGCTGACAGAGAAAAAGATTGGGCACAAGGAGGGACTTTTTTTTTTCCTCACCTGCCTCTGCACATAGTCAATGGCGCGACTAGGAGCATCAGTGTTGGTGCCGTTGTATTCATTGTAAACCTTCTGGATGGAGTGATTGACCTCGTCCTCGACCTAAAACAAATACACAGCAGCAGTTACTTTTCTGTTCACTGAAAACTATTTATTAACTCTGAGCAGTTTGTCACACCATGACAATCCTGCGCTCAACCTGAAACAAACAATTACATTTTGGAAAATCTTATTCTAATAAGACCTACGCTATATTGTATAAGACACACAGAGGTTTGTCTTTTCTATTTTGCAACCGGTGGAAATGGAGTCTCTGACCCACTTTCGCAGACTAACACACTTCTGTAGGCCAAAGACATGCAATCGCTTACCTTTGCCCTGTATATGTAGCCGAGCACCACCACCACACACTCTGTTACAAATACCAACAGCAGGATGGCAGCAAACTGAAATGACAAAAAAACAGACAGAAACCAATTTGTAAACCAATTTGTAAAATGTATATTTTTTTTATAATGATAAACTATATATATATATTTACCGAATACAAAACTATTTGCAAAACCTTAAAACACAGGTTAAAAGTCTCTCCTTAAATACCAGTGAGATATCCATATAAACACTGAATTTGATTATTGTAATAATACCAAATATTCCTAAAAAGATTCTTCTTCATGTACAAGTGGTGGGGCACAAAATGCATACTACTTTCCATTCAATATGTATTTGAGTTTATATGAATGTAAAATCAGTTATCAATCTAAATTACTCAAATTAAGTCATTTTAGTACATATATAATTCCCTCTTGGTGCTTTCCTCCTGAGCAGTAGTGAAATCACAGTAAGAAAAGGAGGGACATTTACACAAAAAACACTAACTTCTTAGGAATCTGAAGCTTCAATTAAATTTTTAAATACCTTTTTTGCATATAAAGACTGCTGATTGTGTCTACCATCACTTATAGTGGAATGCCATTAGGATCTTTTAAGGGCCAGAATGAAAACAATGATCACAACAACAGTGCAGACTAATGGTTTAAGATAAGCTAGAAAAATTGCAAACCATTCCTTTAAGCTGCTTTGCATTTTTTTTCTCGTGCAACAGAAAGGTTTCTTGCACGTCCTTCATGTGCATTGTGCTTGTTTTAAGCGAAAGCTGTCGACACTCACAGTTGCCAAGCCACAGGAGCTCTCGCGTATTGTTGCACAGCAGCCAATCAAGCCGATGATGAAAAGGAGAGTCCCGACAGCTATTATTATAACAGCAGGGATGAGGGTGTACACGTCTTCGAAGAAGTGGTCGTAGTCGTCATATGTGATGAACACATAGGCTCCAATGTAGCATAAGATTCCAGCTGCAGCCTGCAGACAGAAACAAAGGAAGACAGTCAGGCACAAGGACACAGAGAGAAACAGCCAATACTGTACATCACTGCAGGACAGAGGGAGAGAACAACAAATAAATAAATGAATAATTGTCCAAAAATATACATTTAAATGAACTATTCCCAGCTTCAATGTGACAGATCTCAAAGAAAGGTGCAATGTGAAGTGGCCACCTGTCATCTCTACAATATTCAGGCATTCTGGGGGACTATATGTCTTTTCTTGATTGGTTTAGAGCTCAATTGCTGGTTTTCTTTCTACATGTCCATCCATCTCTGCTGGTGTTAATTCAATGATGCGCTGGAGGTGAACTCAGCTGCTGCATCACGTCATGGCTGGAACTTGTGGGCGGCAGCTTCACACACACTGCAGCTCGGTGCCCCTCAAACCACTGCTGTTTTCTTTCCAATTAGCGCACCTCACAGCGAATACAAAAGTCACCCCGTGTCCGTGTATATTTCGCGTCGCAAAGCCACCCCGTCCGTCGCCGAACCGCAGCGCATCTCTGGCGCAGTTTGCTAGCTGCTAACGCTGCTCTCCGTCGCTGGCCTCACTGGGATGCTGCACAATTGTTCTGCCCCGTTTTTTTTCTTACCCAGAATATGAGATTGAGGAAAACCAGGACGGTTTTGGATGACGTGATCCCACACTGGCCCATGGTGTCGTGAGCACGAAAATTAAAACTGTTAGTATAAAAAAAAAATTACTGATGCACCTGCACCTTTTGCTGTTAAAATAATAAAATGGCTTCGGTCGGGCCCACAGTGCTCAGTGTTCTGGGCTCGACCAATCAAAATGCAGCTGACGGAGGATGTAGGTCACGTGTTCCGGTGACATCACCATTCAAAACAAACAGTGTGAGGACGTTTGGTCCCTGCAACGATGTAAGTCATTAGAGCGATTTAAATTCTAGATACAGTGCAACCAGGGCTTTAAAGGCCACTTCTGTGTTATTTATACGTTGATCCCACAGCTATATTGCGTCTAAATGGTGTTTGTATGCAAAATGTGCGATCTGAAGGCAACGTCAATCACTGTGGCTCAAAATGTCATAACAGGCTAGGTAATTAAAACCAGAGCAAATAATGTCAGTTTTGAAAACTAAAAAAAAATAAAAAATCAAGCATTTATCTGCAGGGGGGTAGTACACCAATTAGCAGGCTGATGCAGTGTGAATGTGCTAGCAGTTACTGGTAAAAACTACAATAAACCTGTACCTACAGAAAAACAACCAAACCATGACCACTGCCACAACAAATATTAAATGATATCATCCTAAATCAACAGGTGAACTTTAGCTGCATCAGGTTTGCTGTAAACATCTTGCAGGTTAACCGTAAACCAGTGATGCACGATATTAAAATTTCTGGCCGATACCGATATCCGATATCAAGATTTCTGAGATTGCCAATAACCAATATTACTGATGTCGATTTTCAATTTTTGTTCACAACGAAAAATGAGTATAAATAAGCGCCACGAGAAAACCATTCAAAAGAAGCCCACACCAAATTAGACTACATAGTCTTGTTTATATACATAACAAAAGTAAAATATATTTAAACATATTTTAACAGATGTAACGTTCGAGTCCAGGATGATTTAAGTAAAAACATCTCTGAAATAGCAGCAATATTAAATGTAGAGACGAAGGTGTTCATCGGTTTTTCAAATCGGCTAATTTATGTATATATCGTGCATACCAACCGTAAACCTATAGAGTACTATTCAGTTCACATTTTGGCTCAATGACTGCTGTTTCCAGTGTACTACAACCATGACATGCATCAGTGTCTGCCTTAACACTGCTCAACGATTCTCTCATCCCACTATGTGCAGCTGCCACTTTACCGGAGTATTTCCACATTAGTCAACTTTAATAGTGATGAGAAATATAAAAGCATAGAGGCATTAGCAAACAAAAAACAAAAAACTGTAAACTTCCTGTAAATCAATGTTTTCAAGATGCATTATCACCACTCTTACGGGTGGATTTCACCCAAATCAGCAGTGTTTGGTTCTGTAGTACGTCCCATGCTGCTTGATGAGCAGCTTACAGCAGCAAGTCTTCAGAACAAAGAAGGGCCACACTGTGAAACAAGTTCCTCCTTACTATCAGAACAGCTGAGTCAGTTCCTCAGTTTTAAAAGCTTTTAAATACCCACCTGTATAGGAAGGAAGTTGTGTTATATTTTTAGAATGACTTTTCTAATGCTTTGTTGTTGTAGTTCTTAATGTTTTATGGCTTTTTCAATGTATTATTGTTCCCAGTTTTAAAAGGTGCTGTAGAAATAAGGTTTATCATTCTAATTGTACATGTCTGTTGTTTAGAATACATGGAATTAACTATTAAACAAGTGGACAGCTGTAAGCTACTTTCAAACTTCACTTTTCTTCTTTCAGTTTGTTGATACACTCAACACAACCCAAGAGTTGTATGACATAGCCACAATACCACGGCCTTTGTTTTAACTATGACAAAACTTATATTGTTTTTAAATTTAAAATTTAAAAGATTGAATTTATGGTTAGGTAGTTGTCTGTCAGAGCTCACTTGAGAGGCTGCAGCTCACCAGACTCACTTTGTCTGTGCTGCTCAGGCTGCTGCTGGCAAGATTCTCATGATAAATCATGCCAAACATTGATCAAAAATAAAGAAGTTAACTGAACAAGCTGTGGCTAAGTTATCGAATGATCATGTCTGCGTAACTTTGCTCTTGAGCCACTTATGAAAAAGTGGAGAGTTTAATATTTGTATTGTTTACAGCAAATTTTCATCAGCTGTAAGCTTATTTCTTATTTTAGAAATGACCTGAAGCCATTTTCTGCTGCAATAATAACAATATGGCATGTCTGACACATGACACTACAATATATTGATTTTGCAACTAACTAAAAAGCATAAAGCAAAGTATGCAACATGTGGCTGCATGTAACATGTTGCCAGCCTCATGATCACTCAAATGGTTAATCGGTTGGCACACAAACATCCACTAAAACAAATTACAACTAACATAGGCTGAGGCTTGCGGGAATGTCATATTTTTTAGGTATTTGGTCATAAAAATATAGAAAAGTTTTGACCTGATGATGCCGCTAGATGAAAAATCAGGAGGTCAACTACAATGTTTCTGTGAAAAGATTGAAAAGATTGATTTACCTTAACATTTGGTCTTGGACCTGTCAGTGGGAGGACATTAGTTTAGACCGTAGACTTATAAAAAGCGTACAGCTTGAGCTGATGCTCATGAAATGGTTTGTAATTTTTCTGCAACATCCTATTTTTGAAGCTCTTAAAAACACTGAGATGCCATTGATGTACAGTGAGGGTTTTAGTGCCAGAGGGTGGCAGTGTACCACCGCTGGTTTTACACAATCACACAAGTAGGGAGAGGAGCATTTGTCACCCCACAACCATATAATAATCAGTGTTTCAACTGCATTAATTTTTCAGATGTTCAGTTTATGCCTTGAATAAATAATAATATACAAAATGCACCCACACAGACCCTTGGCTTAAATGAATGAATGTAAGAAATGCATGCATTATGGCAACTCTTTCTTCATTTAAACCTATGAGACTTGTGTGTTTTCTATAAGAGCGAGATAGATTATTCAATTGAAAATTAGTTGTGACACTCAATCAATAATGACTTGGACTGGTGCCCACAGCCTTGGTTTTTTATTGAGTGAAAGCTTGCCACATTTGTCTTTGTCAGCTTTTGGTGTTCAAACTGAACAAGAAGAAAATTTACAAATTGCAGAATAGGCTGAGGAGACCTCTGCTGACATAACATACATCCACAGTGTGAATTATGCATCACTTTTACCTCTTGGCTATCATTTGATTCATTGTTAAAACAGGACAAGATAAAACAAACTAACAGAAAAAAAGACAAGCAGACGTTTGGCATTACAAAAACAAGATCCTATAAGTCCCTAAGGCACATACACGTGGCAATAACAGTGGCTCGTATGGTAGCAGCTCATCGACTCCTTGTGAAAATGTCAGGAGATGTATTAAAGTTTATACAAAGCAAATGAAAATTACTGATTTTTGCGTCATACAACATGAAAACTGATAGCATGTGTCTCAGTATCTTCGTTAGGTTTAGAGCTCAGTACACAGAACAAAACAAAGGCTTGGTTGAGTTTACACATTTTGCTCCTTTTTACATTGAAAACATTACATTTATTTTATATGAGTGAGTGCAAGTTTCCAGGCAGGGCTGGTTCCAAACTGAGAACTTGAGATCAAAATTCGTAAAGATAAATAACACCCCAACACCCATGCTCACATGCAGATTAGTTGCTTAGTGGGAATGTCATCATTTGTGTGTTGAACCGAGTGATGTCCTACCATCTGATGTTTGTTTGTTCAAATTAAACGTCCTTTTTATAGAAAACTATCCAATAAACACCCTCATAGAAACAGAAGACTTACAGTAAATCAATTGCTGTTTATTGAAACAGAAATCAACAGTTACTCATCCCTGCGGGGAAGTCACAGCAGCAGCTTGGCATAACAAGCCACGATTTAAATGACATTCCACCCATTATGATGGCAGATACCTAATTTTAGTCGCTCTGATGCAAAAATAAAAATACTGGGATTAAAAACGTTCAAGATGAAGAAATCTTTTATTGGTGCTAATTGTTTGTGTCTGCATTCATGCGTCCTCAGCATTTCTTGTAAATGACTCCACAAAGTGAATTTCAACCCAGCATAATATGTACGATTTTCTGTTATATTGTTTGGTGCTGGCTGGAACTCTTTATAAGTCATGTGACTATATGTAACACAGAGCTGCACTGTCCATACTTTTAAGCAGGATTTCAAGTCTTTCAGGGCACACAGACTTCCCATGTGAGTTATTTTAGTTACAGAGTTGGTGTCCTCTTAGACGACCATCTATACAGTAGGTCAAGAATTCTAGCCATTTTCAAACTTATCTTTCTGATATGAGTTTATGCACAACTCATTTGCTTCAAAGATCAGTCTCTGTGTCTACATTTACATCCCCTCCGGTCTTATTACCTCCAAATAAAGTGAAAAGATTTTCATTAAAATCATATCTGTGCAGAAATAACATTTTTGTTTGGCAAACATGGGCTCTGTTAGAGATTTAGACTCTGTGTAGGTCGACAGAAAGAAGGATTAAATCTGAGCATATGAAGGAACGGAGCATTTCAGTGAGCAGAGGAGGATATTCAAAGTAAACAGAGAGCACAGAGATGCGAAACTGAAACTCTCATTACCTGAGGAATCAGGCAGCATCCGTTCAGACTGTGTGGAAACATCGCTTTCATCAACAGTTAACACTCTGCAACATGTTTGGATCTGCAGTTTTTAGCCATGAGAGGATAGTTATATTTATTCATTCACACACATCCACACACGTGCGCACAAATTGATAATTAACTTATCAACACATTAAATTGCTCTTTGCAGTAAATCTATACGCACTTGTCTGACATGTCAAATTAATAAAAACAGACACTGTATTTGTGGTTTAAGATTACATTTTTCAGCCTCCAAATACAGACTCTCACATGTTGTGTGTCAGGGCGATCACTGCAAAGACTCAAAATGCACTTTCAAGCAAATAGAACATTTAACCAGCAGTTATGATCAAATATATGCCTTTTTTTAATCCACCTTCCTCTTCATAGTCCTGAATGTGAGCTTGAAAGTGTTTCCTTAGAGCCTTAAATTCGCTATAACCTCTTGAGCAGGCTTTTTTTTGTTTAAATTGTACCCAATTTTCTAGCCTACTAACCTACTTGTGTTCAATGTTCTGCACCTGAAAACCAGGGGATCTCAAGGCTGCTGTGCAGCAAAATAACAGTAGGTGAAAATGTGCTTTTTTGGTGAATAATTGACTGAGACGGGGGTCTATTTTAAAAAGATCTGAACATTTGTGTGCGGCGAATTCTAAAGCCTGTTACAAAAGTGCAAAGTTACGAACTGAAGGGTGAATGTTGGTTAACTCATTTCTAAAAATGAAAGTAAACAAATCATTACAAACACCTCAATCAGTTCAACAGCACAACAAACCACAGCATCCAAAGTTGATTGGCCACGTCTCTAAAAACAGTTTTCAACAGCCCTTCCTAAAAGCAGGGTACTTTGCAGGGCTGTTTTTAGAAGGTGTAAAATCGTAACTTACAGCGTTCTGGTAATTATTTTTTCTGTGTCACCTCCAGAGCCAAAGTTGTGGGGTTAACTAGACATCCAGACTACACAATTCTCAGCTCTCTCACCTGAATAGCATATTCACTTCCCCAGCTCACACCACTTACTGCTTTGAACACGGTGCACATTTCACACCTAAAAATTACATAAAGCAAATGACAGGACATTGTGGGAGAGATATTGAAATAGCCTGCCCGTTTCTAATAGTATAACGGATTAGCCCAAGGCAAAGAAGCTGCATGGGCCATCTCACTTCACTTCACTTCACCACTATTGATCGAGAGAATGGATCATCCCTTTATGCATAGGACAGAAAAAGTACAAAAGACACTATTGATTCCGTGTCGAAATATTCAGGAAAGTAAGAAATGTGATTTACGTAAGCTGCCTACATATGTCTTTATGTAAGTGTTATTTTGGACATGCTTTGACAACATGACACATAAGCGAAACGAGAAATCTTGCTCATGCTAAGCAATGAAAGGTTAGTGACGGGCCTATAAATAAGATCTGTGAAGGTCAAGTGCACCAAAAAGTTACTGTAAAGCCAAGATCGACATATATGATTACTACACGAGCTGTTTTGTGTTTATTTTAGACCTTCGAGTGCTGTTCTGGCTGTAGCTGCAATCTTTTACGCCAGTCAGATGACCCAAACGGATCTCACTGAACTGAACATTTTCAGTAAAGTCTTTTCTACATTCTCCAGTTTTCATACAAGACATTTTAGACAAAATCAGAAGAACCCGGTGGTGTAGCCATAGTGAAGTCAGTGTTTCTTTATAGCTCTCCTGTTCCATTATTTAGAATGCCAGTAATCCAGGACATTGTGTATAATTTATGTGCAGCACATCAAAGTCAAAGCAGTGCAAATAATTATTTTATTCAATATAAATATAACTAAATACAGGACACCATGATGTGAAATATAGTCATCAAAAGAAACTGGAAAAAGCAGTAAGCTATTGCAAATGGAACATGAGTTGTATAGGCTAAGTATGACAGGTACAGTAAATTACAGTCGAGATGAGCAGAAGACTGTTTTCTCATTTATTTATTTTAATCCATGAGGCCAGGTGACCTGGGATCACAGGTGCCAGAGTTTCATCCCCTGCATCACTTTCTGCTTTGGATGTAGTTTTCTAAAATCTTCATCAACAAGTCGGACTCCTGAAACAGAGAGAGTGACATAACATAGAATTAAAATCAATTTAAAAAAAACATCCCCCCTCTGCATTTTTACGTCAAGAAAACGCCGAAACAGTTTGGTTCTTACCTGATTTTTCGAGCGACTCTCTTGCGTATCCACCTGCGCTTGCAACGCCACCCGCAGAAACTCTTGGAAAAGCTCCCCGAGCGCGTTCTGCTCCGCCGGAACAGTGACTTCCAGCGCGCCGACACCCTGGTCCTCAGCTGAAGGCAGCAGGGGGGTGTCCATCACACTCTTCTTACCCATGAAATGTCCTGGCAAACCAAAGAAAATGCTCATTAACGCTTTATTTAACGAGGCGACACCCCTTCTCCTCCCTCACAGTTAACATCTTATAGTACAAAAACAAACTGATTCCACGGAAAACATAATTTTAAAAACATAGGATGATAAAAGAAAAGAATATTCTTACCCGTAGCCCAAAGATTTCCTCTTGGATTCACTTTGATTTTTGCGACTTTATTCCTAAGCTCAGTTAGGTCGAAACTAACAGCAGAAGTGAAAGTCATGACAGAAAATAAGACCAGGTACGTGAATAAGCCCCACTGGCAGACACTGTTCAGCGTAAAACCTCTCATCTCAACGCGGACTGAAGAACTGTCCTTCGGGGCGCAAATTTCCAAGTGCGTCCTGTTGGTCGTAGGTTGCTCAGACGCACCCTGCTTTTATAGGCTCTCCTCGCCGGGGTGGGCTCTGCTTATGTTGCGTGGACTTTTCATTTATCCTGGTGCGTAAATTGAAGTGCAGTCAGCCGACTCATTGTTAAGGTTTCGCGTCTCCGGCTGTGCGTAATTTATTTAAGGATTGATCTTTAACTCGGGGAAGGTATAAATGTTTTGCTGCAACAATCGGTCTTCTTAGGCAGCCAAGAGGAAATACAGCAGTGCGGAAATTAATTGAGCTGAAGTTTTTTGGAGAAGGTTAGAAATGGATGAAGGTTCTCTATAAATACATTCATTGTGATTTCACAGTTCATATTAATCCAATAACAATTATTAAAAGCCTCATAAAGTGGTCAACACTGTAAAATTTGTAAATTGTGTGGTTAGATGGCACAAGGGTTACTAATGCTTCCCTCTAGAGAATACACAGTAATTTCCTGCATCCCCCCTCCGGCTCCCAGGGTCCAGGCCTGGCCCCTCACAATGAGCAACATGACATTTGGCCAGTTGCAGCATGCTACTGTGATCACCATCAGTCCTCTGAGGACAGGAGAACCTGCTGATGCTCACTGCTAATTTAGAGCTGATAAGACAGATGGCCCCTCTTGTCACTTCAGGGTGCTAAAAATTTCAAATATAGTGGAAGAGCTGCAGCTCTCAGTTTGCTCTTTTGCAACCTTTGACATTAACACACATACTTGTGATTTCAGAAAATTGTGCACAGCAGAATGTCAGTCTCATTAGAAGACTGTCTTGACCATCACTGCATCACTCTCCCGGTTTTCACAGATTAAATTAACTTAGACAGCCGCAACACTGTTTCTTTAAAATATGTGGGTATTTTTGCATCTCTTGCTCCAAACAGTTGATTTATTGATTAAGAGCTACAGTGTGTTTTTCAGCTGCACCCATGAGACTTTAGCCACGGGTTACTTGGCATTGCTTTCTTTCAAGGGCCACAAAAAGTAAAACTTTGAGCAAAAGGACACTACATCATTTACCAAAGTTCATCTAAACACCAGTCATGGTTTAAGCGAGGCGTCCTTTTTTGACGGTTCAATTTTCTAATCGATTGTGACATTTTATGCCTAACTGATTACAGGATATAGTTTAACCACTGATGTATAATTATGTTTTCGTGAGCTACAGATGAAAATCAAAGCAGTAAAAAAAAAAAGCACCACCTAACTGGCATCAAGGTCAAGGTCGTTCAGGTCTAACAGACTGCTGCCAAATGCAATCAAATTCAAAGTGCCTCAACAGAATTTCAAGTGGATCTACATTAAGATTATATGTTGATCCATACCACTGTATGATTGCATGTTGGTTTTGGACAGCCAGGACAGTTTCTCTTGATTGCAAGAACACTAAAGTGTGCTCATGTCAGAAAGAGAACACCAACAAGGTTAATGCACAAAGGTAGTCTGCATTTATAGAGTTCAGCCCACTTTAAATAAAAAATAAATAAATAAAAAAGTTCCCACACCAGTGACCTTTATGTAGAAATTTACCATTTAATTTACAACAAAGTGTGTGGGCAACAAATTATCTGTGCAAAAGCTCACCTGACTGACTGTAGCTGTGTTTGGTGCTGGCTTCACAGAATATCTGGATCTAAAATTAAAAATAATTTTCAAAATATATATAGAAACCTTCATCACATTTTACTTATTTGATGCACTTTTTTTTTTTTTTTTACTAACTTTTGTGTTAAACAATACATTGCTCAACATCATATTGGGTCACTAACAATGCTTTCAAAGGTTAATTTAATGCAATGAAAATACAGAAACTTTTCAAAAAGATTTGCAAAAAAAAAGTTATTGCTCATCTCTAACCAAAATAAATACTGAACAGAGGACACAGCTTCTATTTTATGACAATGAATTATGTTCTGTACATTCAGAAAATGGATACTGTTGAATACGGGCCAAAACAAAATGAGACGAGTTAAAATAATCCATAGTGGATGGTAACCAGATTTCATATTTAATATCATTTATAATCAGTTGTCATAAAATACTTCACATATCTTTCTCAAAGACAATGATTCAACAGGAGAGAAACAAGACTGAATTTATCTTTAAGAATGCCGCGTCACATTCTGAAGATTACAAATAAAGATCGACTTCGAACCAAATCCAGCCTAGTTCCCTCACAAAAATATTTCTAAAGCTTGGATTTTTCAAATGTAAACACCCTATCCACATGTCTACAAAATGTTCAAACAAATGGTACAAAAAAGCCAGTTGGGTTTGACAAAGTCTAACTTAATTCTGTTTTTGAAAGGCATGACTGAGGTTTCCTGGACGTAGTTTATCCTTTTTGAGCGCTGAAGCTTGGGTTCCTCACTCCCGATGGACCAACACGAAGAGACCCAGCATGAAGAGAACAGCATACTGTCGGACGAAAACACAGAATGAAGAAATTTAATGCTGAGAGAGACGAGGTGTTTTTTAAAGATTTAAAACTACAGGAATCTTTTCAAGTGTGACTAATTGATGGGAGCGACCAACTTACTTTGAACTTGGGGTAATCATTCATGAGGATGGTGACAATTCCAATGTATGGCACAAACCTGCAGACGATAAATAGATTCTTACTGTCAAGGGATGCTATTGATGCATAATACATGTGAGCTTGTAACTTAAAAGTACACAAAATGTCTGTAACTCCAGTGAATGAAATAACCTAAACGCCTCAGGCCTCTGTTAGGTGACTGCATGGAGCCCCTGTAGTTTGCATACTAGGCATGATGTGTAGGGTGTCATTATCCTTCTGCTTCACAGGGCTTACATAACCTGGAGAAGCTATACAACACTGTGAAGATCACAGACTTCTCCAGTGTTTTCAACACCGGCCGACTGGTTGAGAAGCTCTCTCTGATGCAGGTAGACCAGGACCTCGTGGCCTGGATTACAGACTGCCTCGCCAACAGTTTGCAGTATGTTGAGCTTCAAAGCCGATTGTTAAACATGGTGACGAGCAACACTGGTGCACCCCAAGGAACTGTAATTACATTCCCTTTTTTTTCCATCCTTTACATATCTGACAGTTACAGGAGTTCTTGGGTGACTCTCCTGTCAGCTGGATCATAGATAATAAGGAAGAGGCGTACAAAGACCTAGTTGAAAGCTTCATAAAATGGTAATAAAGCAGCCAATTCAGCTCAACATTAGGAAACCAAAGCACTTGTGGTGGCTTCTGGCACAACAAGAGGCCCCTCAACGCCTGTCATCATAGGAGTGAGGAGGTGAACACCTGTAAGGTCTTAGGGATACAAGTCAACAAGCTGGGTTGGTCAAACACCACTGACGGTCTTTACAGATAACAAAAGTGCAGGCATTTCTTTTTGAAGAGACCTAAATCCCTCAATGTGTACACTGCATATCTCCTTAGGACAAAATAGAATTACAATAGTATCCAAAACACCTCACTTGTTGAACATCTGCTCATTGAGAGGTGCACACTGTTCTAAATACCTCATATACAGGCTACTGTAGACACTGGCTAGGTGGTTGTGCACAGAGAAGCCTTTAGTCTCCCCATTCAGTTACTACAATAGACAGGTGTGTGACAAAAAGTTAGACGAGTGAAATAAGATGTTTCATATTCGGGTTTTTATCCACATGAACCACTTGCTATGTGTGGAGTTATCTGCAAGATGAGCACTCATTTTAAACCCCAATAACACAGCAGATATTGTTCATTAAATTGTGTGATGCCAAATTATGATCGTGGTTAGCAATCGTTTGCAGGGACTGATTTGCTGCTTGTGTTTACCTCTACATTATACTAAAGCCAGCAGAATTTGTTGGGAATGAAGACGGCATTAGAGACAATAAAGAAAAGCTAACAAGGTGATTACACTGCAAACCTGCAAAGTAAATGAAGGTGTATACGTCACATGATAATCTCTGACATTAGAGATTATCTTGACACACGCTAGTACTTTTCTCTTTATGTGTAGCTCACCATTGCTCTGTATCACAAAGTAAATTAAACAATGTAAATACAGTCACTGTGGGGAAAATAAAGTACCACGTGGCCTGATCACGAACACAAGCACTGCAAAGGTGAACTCGAACACTTAACTATAAATTAAAATCTACAGCATAGGTACCATCAGTGGGATGCCTGTTATCCTTCTATATTGACTATAAATCCAGGTTTAAAAATGAAGGTAAATCAAAATAACATAAGTTTAGAGAAAAACAGAGGTCACACTTATGATGAAATACAATTAAAAGACACATCTCCTTGAAAAACAGCTGTTCTCCCATGAACCTAAGCATTCGATTCCGTGTCCTTCGCTTCCCTCTCATGCACAAGGACAAGCGCTGACAGGGAGGATGAGCTGATGTAAGCCCTACCTTGTTAATACAGTAGAAATTAACTAGCAAAGATAACAGACCAACCATAATCCCCAAATCTTAAAGAGCAAAGATGTGAAGTTGTGGATTTTTGCATATGACCTCGTTCATCTCAAAGACAAACAGGGCTATTATATTTCATTCTATTAGCCTGTGCAAGTGTTGCGTTTACTGTGTCATCTCCCAGCATTAATGTGTTGGCAAGACATCCTGTTTAATCTTATGAAGACGTTTTGCATTTAATAAATATTCTCTGCCAATATTTTCAAACGTTCACATGTTGCAGTTCTGCCACACTGGTTTAGAAACATCTTGAGCAGAGCAAGTTTTCTGTTTTGAAAATGCTAATTCTACTAACAGTTCAGCAATACTATTATGTATTTTCTCCAACCAAAATACTTACCCCCTAGCTCGTCCCACCACATCTTTTTTCTCCAGCCAGTGCTGGCCCTGCTTGTACAGCCCTCTGTCATCCACTGCATTGTTGTCCCCTTTGGTCAAGAACTTAATGTCTCCATTTTCCCTGCGAACAAAGTATCAGTGTGATTTTTAGACCACGCTGCACATCGTTTCCCCTTCTTCAACTTTCTAAGTCTGGGTGAGGATTCATGATGAGTGTGAAATGTCACAGAAGCCTCTCAAAAAAACATTTCAGATAGCTTTTCAATAGAATTCAATACTATGTTTGACATTCTCAGGTTTTTTGACTGGAATGAAATTCAGTGATACTAAAAGTTCACTGTGGACAATGACACTAATAAAATACACATTCATACTTTTCGTGGATCTTTAGTACTCTGTGTACTATGGGGATCTCTCTGCCTTCTATCCTGAAGACAACGATCTCTCCGACTCTGATGGGGTCCTCTACCCGGTTGGTCAAAAACAAGAGGTCTCCTCTGTGGAAAGCTGGCTCCATGCTCCCACTGAAAGAGAGCAGATACATATTAGCAACATTAGCTCATTCTATTTAGGTCATTTAAACATTTCCCCCCTTAATGAAGAATATGTGTTGCAAATGTCAACATTCACTTTACATATATCCACATTAGTGGAAGAGAGACACGTCATTTAAGAACTGAAAGACAACTAAATGTTTGCCGCACTCGTAATTGTGTCAAGTTAGAAATCAGGAAGTGCTGCATCTATTATTAAACTCTAACGTCTGCAAAGCCACAAGAATGTATTAACAACTACTACAGCAACACTTCCTGGCTTACATTAGAACCAATAAAGTGCATCAGGACATCCCTACCTATCATCTGCCAAAATTAACCAAACTTACAGAGAGTTACACATAATCAAAACAGTCAAGTCTAATCATACTCATACCCAAACAATGCTGCATCTTGCATAAATACTGTGTTTAATACATTCAAAGAATCATGTTACAGCTAGAAGAAAAAAGTAGACAGATTCATTGAGGTCACAAGTTAGTTTAATTAATTTACTTCAAACTGGGATAGGCTCCAGCCCCCCCGCGACCCAAGTGAGGATAAAGCGGTGTATAGATAATGAATGGATGGATGGATGGATGGATAGACAGATAGATGGATAGATGGATGGTTCTGACTGAGAATGTGAAGTTCAACCCCCATGACTACTTCAAACTTTTAGAGAGATGCTATCATAAGTATAAAGACAAACTGCTGACTGGATCATGAGACTGAAGATGTGAAAACACAAAAGGAAAATGAACTATCCATTATGCAACTTCTGCATAATATGTGTAGTGAAACAACGTAACTGAGCAACCAGCACTTCGTCTTAACTTTTTGGTGTCTACTGATGATAATTTACAAAGTGTGAACCCCAAAACCTGCAACCGTACTTTATGCTGAGGTACAAATCTTCAGCATGAAGCAAACAGTGGTTTGCCCATTGTATAAACACTAGATTGCAAACAACCTCATGTCCTTGGTAAATGCAGCTATTTTTATTCTTTGAAAAGCTGTGTCTATTTCCATGCTGAACTCTTGATAGTTCTTTACTACCCAGGGGAACTTACTGCAGCTCTCACAACACTACCTCTCAGCAGCAGAGGCTGGAGATGCTAAATTTAAACAGAATCAAAATCCCAACAGATTACAGGAAACTTACCTGAGAACAACAACAATCGGGCTCTCGCTGCCGGTGACCACCATCAGTCCCTTCCAGATCATCAGCGCAGAGGAAACAATCATACCAAAGTTCAGCACCTGGTAATAGAGCTGCACACAAAATAGGGACATTTTACTTACATTATAATCCTTCAAAACCTAAAACTAGATGCATAATTACTAGTTAGATGTTTTTGCATAAAAATGACCCAAGACCAACTCTGCAAGAGCAAAATCCCACTGTGTGCTTGAGATAGCACCAAACTGACTGCTGGTACATTTGTAAGTACATCTGGCGATGACTCTAGCTAGCGGTGCCATGACAATAGTGGTAAAATGAGGGAAATAGCTAGCTGCACTGAAGTCAGGATTAATGTTTACAACAGGTTTACGAGTGTATTTTGCACTGCAGCATATAAAAGACAATTTGAAAGACACGCATGCATAAAACGGTTCACTTCTAAGGTCGCTAACAAGTGACAGTCCGGCTGTAACGTTAAAAAGCGGTCGGCGGCTAGTAGTCGTTAGCTCCGCGCTCTGTTCACATACAAAGAGGCGCCGAACATGAGAGGGAACTAGAGCTCCGGTACCCACCTGCCGCTTATTCATGCGACGAACATCGTCAAGAAAGTCTAAAGATAACATTGTGGCAACTACTACAGTGTAGAAAAAGCACCTAAATCACATGAAAGCGTCTAAAGTAATGAGCATATGGATGCACGGTCGACCACTGAAACTTGCATCCGAATCTTCCGGGTGCGCTCAACCGGAAGTCCCGCCCACCCGCGAGCGCTGTGTTGAGGTGTCAGTTCAGGATACGAGGCGGGGCGGGGCGCGAGGGGGGTTTCCAGCAGCACCTCACCCAAAACACACCGCGCTGCTGGTCTCTGCTGACGATCAGTGCTGTGCTGTGCGGGCTCAGGAGCGCTGCAGAGGTTGTTGTTCGTGGAGGGGATAGTTTAAATGACACACATGAGCTGAGTGTTTTTCTTATTTATTATTGATTCAACTTAATACAGTTTGTACATTAAAGTCAGGGTGCAATCAATCAACATTAGTGCAGTGTATTACTGTAGGTAGAATGCCAAGTATGACATCAAGACAAAAAAAGGAAGAAAACAAAGCAACAACCTCCAAGAGGCAAATCTAAAACAATGGATGTAGAACCAGCAAATCAGCAGCAAATCAAGGCACATTAAAAAAGCTAGGATTTAAAGTAGCTGGTGAAGCTATTTATATACCCAGTGAATGATAGAATACAACCTTGCTACTTACAGGTGTGAATGTGGTGTTTAAATAGCATGATAATCAGGTTGGCAACATCTGAGATGCTTGTGTCCAGGTTATCCATATAATAAATGATGTCCTTATAGGTAAGCAAAGGAACATTGTTAATTTTCAAAGAGAGCCAGCTATGAATGTCCAACCAAAAGGGAATGAACTGAATATGTGCACTAAGAAGCCCGCATGATGATGGAGATTTGAGAGAGTTGTCTGTCAATTCACCTTTAGGAGTTCAAGTCATTTTACATGATGCAATATAAAGCTATAATCATATATGGATTTCTAAGCATGTACCAGCAGAGAAAATTGATTTATATTAGGAACTGTATGAAAATTATTAGCGGGGGAAGGAGTGAGGAGTGTGGAGGGGCAGCCCTGGATGAAGCAGAAGCTTTATTGTCATTGTTTGAGAGATACAACAAAATTTCGTTTGGCATGATCTTTGCAGCAGCTAATGTGGTCACAGTCTAAGAAAAAAAAAAAGTTAAAAGGTGATATAAATAATAAGATAGCAATAAAATATGAAATAAATACTCAGTTAAAAGTGCAAGGGTTAATAATGAATAATAATGTGTTTGTCCAGGAGTTAGAGAAGAATTTTGCAGGCTGAAGGGTCCTGGGAGGAAAGATTTGTCCATGATGTTACTTCAGAGAATCGAGATTCAAACCCAGCACGCTGACCTCTATGAGGAGTTTGTCGATTATGTTAGAGTCAGCTGTTCTCAGCCTGCTGCATCAGCACAGCTCTAGAGCAAAACCCTGGTCAACATCTCCCAGGTACGTTTAGTCCTCAATCACCTCTATGTCTGCCTACGTAAATCAAGCTATTTACTGTTTTAGTCAAATGTTCTGTTGATTTAGTGAACACAGAACTTTTGGGCGTCAGCAACATTCAGCATCTTTAAGTGGAAGCAAGACAGTTTTGTTTTCATTTTGGAGGAATAATTTCTACAATGTACTGTATTCCATATTTTATTTTGTGTCTTTAGATTTTTGCATTAATTTGAAGTCTCCTGCTGTGCTTTCTTTATCAGTTATTTACCTGACATATGGTTTCAGAAGCAGGTAGCCTTCATTGAGTTTATCAGGTCTCTTTTGTTGTAGAGGTTGGATGCTGCTGATAGAAATGAGGTTGATGAGGGAAGAGAGACTGGTTCAAAATGGTAGTCGTGGCGTAAAACCAAAACAATTAGCTGACCGGTGCTTTTCAGATTACATGCAGTCACTGAGCATCTTATTGAGCGCAGCTTTAAAGACTTGAAACACAAACACTGCAGCTTTGTTGTTTCCATATGTGAGCCAGATGAAGTCAAGTTTAGAATCTGTGATGCAGTTATTGTTATCCACTGTGTGACATAAGCCAAACAACCACTTGTAAAAAATCACTGAATGAATAACTTATGACATATTAATGGCTACCCTTAAAGGTGGCTAATCTTTATCCTGCAATCAGTTTGAAGGTGAGTTTACTTTCCCCTACGACCTTGACTGAACACCCTTCTCAATCAAAATTATAATAATCTAACATAAAAAAAAAACAGCTCAGTTGACAAGTGACCAGTAATTATTAATTAGGTCTCTTTGTCATAGAGTACATCTAATTTCCTTAAGGAAGTGCTTCTGACGGAGTAGGTGATAACGTATGTAGTGAACACACTCCTGCAACCTACCAACCCTCTCTGGTTGTTGATTCAGCCTGCCGGGATCGTTATTAGCACATATGTCACGCGTGTTTGAGCCATCATTAAAAAGTCAGGTTTTATGTTGGCATTTCTGTGACTCATTTAATTGTGTTTTTTCCCCCGACTGTTTTATATTTCATTTTGATTTCACAACCGACCTGTGAGTTGGGTTTTGTTCTCCCCTTGATGCATGAACACTGTTTGCTTTTCCTGTGATACAGTGTCAACAGGGACGTGTGTACTTTAGTGATGACATACATAATATGGTGTTTAATTTATCAGCAGAAATTTAATTTTAGAGCATGATTACATTTTTTTGCAGGCTTTTTTCCTATGGTAACACATATTTCTATGATAATAACTGTGGGTGTTGAATACAAGATTAGTCAGCAGCAGTACCAAGTTTAAAAGCGTTTTGTGTTTGTTAGTTTTTGTCCCTGGAATACTGATGTCTGTTAAACCAACTGGCCAACTGGTCTTTCTCAGATCCTTTACAGTTTTTGTGTTATCAGTTTTTTGTTTTTTTTTTAAATGGAGAACATTTGCTTTTGAACAAAACTTTTCAGTGACAGTATGTGTGTAATCAGTGCATAAGCATCTAAGTGTATGAAGGAGCAGCAGCTGTCAAGTTCACACACTGCAGAGTTCTGTTATTCATTAATGTGTGTTCGGCAGCTTCTGGCCTCTATTTTGTATGTATTCTCCTCAAATGCAAAAGCAGAGTGTAAGTGTTGTGTTGTTGCTGTATTGTTGTATTGTTCTACAGTGGTCTCTTAACAATTCAGAGGTGCATTTGTGAAGCGGAGGATGTTATACCTTCTGCATGTCCTTTATCAGTGCTGCTGCTGCTGCTGCCTCCTTCCCCATGTGATTAAAGGGCACTAGTTGTGAGGTGACACCATGTGCTCTCCTTAGGATATTAAAGACTTATCCCAGCAAGGGCACTGAGTGATATTGTGAAAACCCCTTAATTAGGTCATCCACTGAAGCTGTTTACAGCCTGTACGTTTTGAATCTAAATTTCTCTGCTAAGTGTGATTCCAGGTGATAGCGTCAGTGTCTTGTAAAGATATTGACACCCAGTGATCACAAGAATTGCCTTTGATGAGTATTATGCAAAACGTGTCTTTTTGGAGAAAAAACAATCCCATTTAGCAGCACATTGTTTATATCTAAGGAGTCATTTTTCTGTCTTCTGCCATATACAGTATGTACACAACATTGATTTTCTTTCTCTTTAGTCTTTTTAGATAAAATGATGCAAGATATGCATCTACACATCATTATTTTGTAGTAAGCAAAAGCTTGCTGTGATATGGTGGATTAACTCAGTTCTGATTGTCAACTTAGCGATGACACAGAGACCAGTGGCAGTCTGCGACTTTTGGAGGACTGGAGATAAAACTTTTTTTCAAATGCCAACAAGTCTGTGGCATTTAGCGACGTGTGATCCTTTTCATATAATCTGCCTAAATGGTCACAACCATCCTGGCTCGCCAATGGTAATTGAGGTCAGTCAGGCACAACAATGTGAGGTCAGAATGACAGCTTGCATTGTGAGAAAATGATTGTTAGATAAAACACCTTCCATCCTCTGTTTCTGTTTTTCCTCTTTAAAATTTGAGGTAATGCTATCCTATTGACTGTGCATTCTCATTGTGCTTAAATATAATAACGTGCATCCCGATTTAACTTTGGACAGCTTGTTTAGACCCATTTTTCTCCTTTTTCTTATCTGTCAAAACTATCAAAACAAAATGCAAATATCGTCTTTTGTGTAGAGAATATTTTTACATGTTGCCACATCTTGAGCCAGAATGTGAGACTTAATACTGCAAATCCGTTTAATGTGCTGTAGACCTAGCAGCTGAGTGCAAAGTCTTCACATTAACTCAACATTATGTCTTATTAAATGAAATGGGAATTACTTTGGCTTAAGCGTACACGCAAAATTTCTACAGTTGGGGACTAACAATTCTCTCATTTGCTGTGCCTTATTACAAGTATTAATGCTGGGATCACTCTGAGTGATCCAGTGCTTTGCAATGCATTTTGTCAGAGCTACTCAGTGCAGCATGAAGAGCTGTGCCATTGCATCTTTTCCCTGTAATTTTCCCCACTTCACTCATAATTTTTTCTTCAATGTCTTGTAAGAAACAGTTGGATTAAGGTACGCCTCATCTTCTGACGTTGCTCCTCTTAAACAGATGCAAAGAGAAAAATGCAAAAGAGTAAGAAATCTTATGAAGCAAGATTTGAGATAATTTAGTTCATTTCCAAAAAACAATATTAATTTGAGATATTTTTGTCAGTCTGCATTATATCTGTTGTCTGTCTGGCGACCTGTCCAGGGTGTCCCCTGCCTTCACTCACCCTGAGTTAGCTGGGATAGACTCCAGCCCCCCTGCGACCCTAGTGAGGAGTAAGCGGTGTGTAGATAATGGATGGATGGATTATTTCTGTCATCACAGACTCTTTCTCGTATAACCTAAACATTTACTTTAATGTTTAAAAAGAGACATCATGTCATCATACAAGTGAGCATACTTTTTACTTGTCATCAATGGCACAGTGATTGAACTAACAGTAGGTGGCAGGAGTGTTGTGCTTCATGATCTTCTCCATGTTGCCACCCCACCTCAGTCACATTTCAGTCATGTCTAATGAGTAAAGTAGTGAATGGGCAAGACTAGCTTCAGTGTCATGTGGACAAATGCTGTACATTAACTCATAAGACTCATGGGCCAGATGTCACTCACTTTTGGTCTGTTCACTGTTCAATAAATGTTTACAGTAGATATGTGGTAGCATGCAAATATGGGTTATAAAACAAAAGCTTCAGCTATTTCACACCAAAGTGTGCAGCCTCTGTCCTCGGTTGTTCCTCTCTTGCTCCTGCACAGCATCAGATGTGACGCTAATATAGGTGAACTTTTTTTGTGTGTGTGTAGATTTAGCTTTCCAGCACTGTTCACACTTGTGTGTGTGTGTGTGTGTGTTTGTGTGCAGCCACTGCTTACATAAGCGATGAGTCATTAATGACTGGGAATCACATATGATTATGGTGATGTAGTTAGCCTTTCACCCTGTAAACACACACTGGTTGTGTGCAACACGTCATTCTCTCATATCTGTGAAGGAAACTGATTTGCCCCTCAGTGGTGGTGTTATTAATCACGCAATGGCCAAACTGAACAGTCTCTTCTTTTACAGCAGTCAATAATACTAAAAAAAATCCATCCATTGCCATTACAACACAGCTGCCATCTCAGTAGCGACTCTTCCTTTATTTGTGCATTTTTTTTGCTATTGAGTGTATTTTTGTCTTTTTCAAGATGTGTTCTACATTAGTGCCCCACTCATATGTGACCAGACGGATAGAGAACACTATTGTAAGGTCGGTCAGCTTTATATATTTTACGTAGTGAGAAAAAATAAAGATAAACTGGTTGAAAATGTTTTCAATTGTCTCAAAGTTCTGCCCAAATCGCAGGTAAGTGCTGTCATGTTGCATAAATGCTGAAATGCGACATTTCCCCTCAGATAAGAGGGGTCACTGAGATAAATACCATCCTACTTATCTTTCCAGATGATATATATGATAATGAGTATACGCTGATGTCAAAGAGACTGAGTGGGATGACTTTCATTACTCAGCCCACTTCATAATGTGCAAATTTCTATTTAAAGCACATGTCATGCACTTTGACAGCGTCTCCACGCATATGAGGTGTTGTCTTATCTTTTATTGTACAGCCAGTTGCATTCAAAAGTGCAGTCTCTAAAAATGCAGTGCAATGTAGAACAGCAAGTAAACATGTCAGGTTGCAATACAAAAGCACAGCACCATTAGCCACCGTACAACAGTGTCACGTGAAGCTACATTTGGCTTGAGTCATTCCTGAAAGAAAAAAACTGGCTAATTACTCCCAGCCTTAAACACGTGCTCTATGACCGTAGGACTTACACGATATCCAGGTTATGTTTTTCCTTGCATTGGCATGGGCAGCTACAAAAGAGTAGTGTTAAAAATGCTGCCTACAGTCGACAACACATGATGCTACTTCAGTTCAAAACATCTTATATTCATTCAGTACAGATACACTGACCTGATGTAGCGTCCACAATCTGTGAACCATGGGACTAGATTGATAGAACACAAATCCAGGAAAAACACCACTTCTTATTGCACAACAGCTTTAGTCCTATGATTTAAATGCAGGAAACAATAGAGCATGAGACCTCAGCATGTAAGGCCATCAGTCCACAATGAGTGGCATCATAGCAAGGAATGGTGGCTGTTAAAATGATACTGTTAAGTCATATTATTATTAATAATAAAGCTCTTGCCCCTGTAGGGTTTTATGCTTCTGAGGTGCCAATAGTCTTCCATCTTTCCTCTGTCTCCTCCTGAGATTTCTGTGAATATTTGTGACCTCTCCAGTCTCAGTAAGCGATATTCCTTTTATGCCGTTTTACCCACTTTGGGAGCATCAGCAGCTTTTTGTTTAGTGGGAGTCTTCCTGCCGTCTTGCTCAGCTTTCCTGGGCATCCTGGGGCTACTGGCGGCTTTCCTGCCAGTCTGAGGGCTGGAGGAGCCAGCAGTCATCTTGCGTTGAAGCAAAGGGCTCTTGGAACCTTTGGGCTTCGTTGGCGTCATTAAAGAATCCATCACCTTCAGCGACTTCAGGCCGAGCAGACCACAGAAGTAGTTACATTTGTGCTGCGAGACAAACTGCTCAAAAACTTTGGGATTCCCTTCGACAGATAAACCTTGATGCCTGCAGCAGCACATAGCAAAAAACTAAATGTCAGAGGGGTAATCAGTATAAATGCAAATTACCTGTAAAATGAGATTTTCGCTGTGTAATTTACAGAAACAACACAATGCAAATATACTAACCCTGTTGATTTGACTGAAATTCCAACATTGGTGATCTTAGTTTCAACACCTGCAAAACAACACCATTGCAATTACTTTATCTTTCTGTTGTTCTGGTAATATATTCAAATTTGAAAGACATGCACTGTAAATTACCAACACATTAACTCTGAAACTGCATTAAAAATGAGATAAATCATACATGTAAAACACAGCATAAAATTACATCAGCACATATAAAATAGAGCATAATGGACCAGAAAGTTTTTAAAGTAGGTATGTATCCCTCTAAAAAGAAATGTTATGATGGTCAAGTTTGAAGTAGCTCAGCTCAAAATGCTTGCTCTCACATTTATAATTACTGCAAACAGCGTTGTGCTTTAGTATGTATGGTACAGTTTGTGATCTGTCAACCAATTTTGAGCTTCATATGTTCACCGCTTCTTTAACATGCAAACAATTTAAACACAAACTTGATGAATGTCTGTGCTGTTCTGTGGGATGAATATTATCTGAGTAGAAGCAACCTGTGCTGAAACCACTGTTAAATTCTTAGTTATATGTGTAAACCTAACATTGTTCTGTTGAATTCTAGCATCAGCCTACCTTCTAGCCGAGTGAGTAGCAGATTGCCATTGGTCCACTGAAAGATCCAGTGCTGCAGAGTACAGCATTTCTGCTCCACCTCAGAGCCAGTTCTCATCTCAATTCTTCCTGTATCATCCAGGACGGAGTATTTCTGAAACACTCCTGTCAGATCAGTCTCCACTGTGGCGTAGGGGACAGTGTTTGCTGGTCGGTACATCAGGTAGACTGGAATCACCCTGCATCACAAAGATGGTCGTAACGTGAATGACTGTCAGAGATGCTTGATAGTCCATGTCCTGTAGATAACAGTCAAAATGATATCGGCTTTTTATTCTGAGTAATTTGATTGTACTCACTCAAGAGACGACCCAAAGTTTTCTATACCTCTCGCCTCTGCTGAGAAGATTTTGCAGTATTCGCGAGCCAAGTTCTGAATTTTACACTCCTGTATGCAGAATGTTGGAGAGCAGCCAGTAAAGATCAGCTCAACCTACACCTGTTTATTTAAGCAATCTTAATTTGATTAGCACAGCACTAATCCTGCGGGGGTGTCAGCATCAACAATCCACAAACCAATCCACTTAAATGCTGAAACTGCTGGTTTACTGAGCAACATATTTAAATGTAAGAGGGCATGGATAACGCACAAAACTAAACATTTCCTACACACCTGCTTCATGACTTCCAGGTTCCTGTCTACGAGACAGCTTTCTTCTTTGCCTCCGTAGGCGATGGGGTTGCATACTTTAATGATACATGTGTTACCAGACTCGAACACAGGCTCCAGACCGTAGATGACTTTCGCCCTCCAGACTTTATGAGCACAACCATCTCCGATCTGAGATTCCTTCATCATTATACGGCCAAAGAACTTGTTGCCCCAGACACCAGAATCAGCGACACCCTTGCTGAATATCAGCGGTGTCATTTCAATTTCCTCTCCAACTGCATACACGACAACATAAACAGTGCATTGAGAGAAGCACAGGGAAAACAGCAGTGATCTAAACATGTAACACCTCATCTTACCGCCAAGGTCTTCACGTAGAGACATTCCAGCCATAACTGCAACACAGAAGACAAAATCAATCAGCCAAATAACACGAGAAAAGTCACTATTATGTTTCTTTCATGTTAAATTTTCTTTAAAATGGTACATACTCTCCGCACTAAGTAGAATGTCTGTGTAGTCTGTCCCATATTCATTTGTAATGGAACATTTGTAAACACCAGAGTCTTTGCTTGAAGCCTGAACAATGGCAAGATTGACCTGAGTTTCATCCCCTGAACTGGAGGACACACAAATAAGAAATGATGCAGCAACTTTAAGAACACACACATCGTTTTATAAGAACTTTATACATCTTTAAAAGTGTCTTATTGTGGATGTACTTTTACTTTGAGAACTTACTTTCGTTTAACCTGGATAATCTCCGCCTCATCTTTGTACCATTTGATGGTAGAGTCACTGAGAACGTTGAAGAACTGACACCACAGTTTCAAGTGTCCTAAGGCGTCCGCAAAAGTCTCACCCCTGATCTTACGGATAACTTGAGGAGCTGGAGAGAAACACAACCAACACAGACAACACAACGTAACCTTGACGGATCCAGTTTTATATGTTAGCTATATATAAAGTACATAGCAAAGGCTGCTTTGCTATATGATGGAGCCTGTACATAGCAAATATAGCTGCAAGCCAAATCAGTTTAATACTATCATTTACAGTCATCCTCAAATTTCATTTCAATTCATATCCTTCCATTTAAAAAAAAGGCAAAATTCACAATAGTCATTAAAATAACTAGAAACTGAAAAAAGCAATAATAAATAAAAATTTGCTAAATTATATTTTAGTGAAATAAGACATTGCTTATGAATTTGAAGAATAATTTTTAAAAAATAAAAAATCAAACTGTCCCAGACAAATTAGAGCACTTTGCTGATGAGCAGTGGGTCAAAATCCAAATAGCTGTCAACAGGAGCAGAAGTCTGACTGAGAGTTACAGAAAACACTTGATAGCAGTGATTGGCTCAAAGGATTGTTCAACAAAATATTAGTTCATGGGTCCCATCATGCTTGTTTGCTTGTTTTTTTAAAATAAATAAATATTTCTGTTGAACCACAGTTCAAAAGCAACATCATAATTTTCATGACCTTTTTTATTTCTTATTACTTTTGTCAATTTCAGCTTGTTTCAGCGACAGCTGCTTTTTTCCTTCTTGAATGGGAGGGTATGAATACATTTGTGCATGACTGTAAATATTAAGTATATATAAATTTACTTTAAGTATACATGAACTCAAATGATGACAACACGTGACATTTTTACTGATAGGAAAGTACTTTAAAAGAGCATAAAAATGTTAACTTTAAAGTAAAACTTAAACGCTAATTTTGTATGTGAATACTTTACATACTGCACTAGTAGATTGGGATAAGAGTGCCAGTTAACACCACAGTGATTTTTACATGATTGTGGGCATTTTAAATGCACTTAGATGTGTATTTCCCACTGCTTACTGTTTGACTGAGACACAGCACATGACATGCTTGTGAACAGATGCCAACATCAATTTCATTTGAATTTACAGTAGATTGAATGAGTTAGTGAGAATCTAAACACTGCTATTAAGATGGGTTTGTGACCAAAACTGCAACCTGTTTCACTGCTGCAGCTGGTGCAGGGTGAACAGTCAAACATATGACATCTCTGCACGCCTTCAGTACCACCCATCTGTACACTGTTACCAACTGTACTGGCTACATCTTAGCCTTAAGATGTTGTCATGCAAAAAATACGCCACTGCTTTTACAAATATCAAAAAACTCATCTGTCTTTCTCTACAGATCCATTTCTACTCTGAGAAGCTGGTTTTACTTTTATTTTAAAGAGGTTTTGAATTATGTCCCTCAGATGAATGTTCCAGCCTACATTTTTCTGCCACACAGTTTTTTTTTTTACACCACCACCAGGGGGCGTCACATAGTCATCTTTTCTAATAAAGCAGCTATTCTTAAAGCAATATTTAAAGACTTTAAGGTTTTGTTTTTTGTTTTTCTTTTACCTTTGAATGGGTTATACTTGTCCTTCTCTGCAGGTTTCCCCTCAGGGTGGATCTCCTCAGTGGGCAGCTGACTTTGGGTTTGAGTTTCTGAGGCCATCTTCCTTCTGCTTACGAGAGGAGACCGCCTTTCTACAGGAGAGAGTTGTTCGCCAGCAGGCTGAAGTAGAGGTGACCGTCGAGACAAGCTTGGAGACACAGAAAGGGTCACAGGACTTGTGGGAAGCTTGCTGCTCTGTGTAGGTACTTCACCTTTCAAAGTGTGGTTATCTACTGGCGATGTGGCCTCTGTGCCGTCCTCAGGTTTGGCCTTGGATGTTAGGATTTTGCGACGCGCCCCAGAAGCTAGCTCTTGTGGAGTAGCAGAAGGGATGGGAGAAACACAGTTTCTTTTCTTTAACGATGGACTAGGTTCAGGGGTTGGATTGGTAAAGGAGTCAGACCGCAAACACTCCTGAACCATAGAGCTCTCCTGCTGAATAGGCTGCAGATTGTTCTGTTGTGGCCCAGTGCTGAATACACTGTTAGTAGGGAACTTTGGTATGTCCTGCAAAGAAGTTTTTGAATTGTGCTCTTCTATTTTGTCCTGACCAGAAAGTGTCAAATTTATGTCTGTAATTCCCTTCTCTGTTTTGCTGTTGAGTTTAATTTCAGGAGTTAACTTTTGTATGAATCCACTGTCTTTGCCTTGAATAGGTGCGTCTTTGGCGTATTCCAAAACTGTAACATTTGGCTCCTCCATGTGTGTCATTGTAAGTGCAGACCCAGATTCCTGAGTGACAGTTCCAGACAGATTGGAAACCGCTGGGGGTCTATTTGTCAGTTTGTCCTCAGACTTCAAAGGAGGAAAACTGTCTTTTACATGTTTACTCCCAAAAAGGGAAACAGCAACAGAGGAATCATTTGGAGGACCTGGAGTTGATGCTTCAGTGTCCTGACCAATGTCCATGGCACCTTCATTGTATTTGGTGCCACTTCCATGAAGTCCCGTTATGCCCACAGTGGTGCCAGTGTCTATGACAGAGCTAGGGGGGATCACAACAGGTTCTTGCAAAGCCTTAGCAGGTGGTGAAGCTTCATCCTGGCACTGAATTTGTTCCTGATCAGTTTTGTTTACTTGATGATAAACCTCCACAAGTGTTGCCTTTGTGTTTGTAGGAGGAGTAATGTCAGTGCTCTTCTCAGTTTCCCTGTCAGGCATTGACTTCTTTGTTTCCAGTTTATGTTTTCTGTTATCATCTCTTAATTCCTGACACATCTCTTTAGCTGTTGTAGTAAGATCTTGTACTAAATTAGCATGGGTCGGTATGATGGACACTGAATTTGCTAGTGTGGACCCGAGAGCCTTTATTTGTGACCTCAAAAGTTCAGCAATAGATATAACTTTTGTAACAGGTTGTGGAATTTCTTGGAAGCTTAACGTGTGTTCCAAAGAATTAGTCTTTTCTGAACTTTTTGTATGAAGTGGGGGAGTAGTGAATTTGTCTGACCTCTGACCCTGTAATTCTGAATGGGTTTTCTCCTCTACTTTTGATATGAGTTCTTTCTTCTCAGTTTCTTTAAAAGATCCATTTACAATGGTTACACCAGTGTCTTTCCTCTCTGCATCTTTGGTCTTTTCTATTTTTGTTTGCTCGGTCATATGTAGAGCAACGGCTTCAGTCTCCATCTCAACTACCTTCTCTTTTGAGGCCACATTTTGAGCCTGTATCAATAACTTACCTACCCCATTACCCTCCACCTTCTCATCATATTGTGTTTCTGTCCCTTCAACAGTTTTTATAGCTGTATCAACTTGGCTTTGCAGGGAGGTGGATGAAACGTTACACCTTTGGGTGTCGTCGCCACCACCACCGGGGCTTTCGAGGGGTGACTTCTGTAGGTGTGTAAAAAGGGCCGTATGACTTTCATTTGATTCCCTGGAATGATCATATGTGTCCTGCGTCATTTTGCCAATTGCTGCTCGACGACCACCGTGCAAAGAAGAGGTCTGGATGTCATCCGTCGTGGTCTGGCTTTTTATTGAAGTCTTTTGTGGTGGCTGCGAGCCGATCACACACCGGTCGGGTGGTAGCTCAAGGCTGACAGGTGCATCATTCCTGTTCATCTTTGTATGGGCCTGTGTAACCTTGGGACATAATACAAGCAGAGGTTTCCATGCTGTAAATACTTATTCCCTTATCCCTGGCTATGCTGGACATGGATAAACACATGCAATTTTAAAAACAGCAACAGCGTAACCAGCAACAAACAGATAAAGGAATGTAAAGACCTTGGAGCAAAACATATGTATGAATCAGAGAAAAGGTATAGTTAGTATGTGAACCTGCTCTATTCCTGATAATTCTCTTCTAGATTAAAGGGAAATCTACTTCTCACATATATCAGTTCATTCATTTCGAATCCAAATGGTGCAAATGTACTACAACATGGTTAAGACTCCAAATAACACATCCGTCAGCAAGTATTGTGTGAGTAGTATAGCTCAATGTCACCTCATTGCCATGATGCAGAACTCCACAGTAACGTGGTATTAAGTTTATCATATAAAAAAATAGAAGCACAAGCAATCCCATAAAGTTTGTTGTTGAGCTGAATCCCTAAATTAGCACAAGAGTCTCCCTGTGTCACATGCCATTGCATCATGGATGAGATGAGCCATAATACAGTCCAAGGGCCATTATCTTGGCCTCTATTGTGCTTCATGAAGCAACACTAGAGCTCATTTTAAAAATTTAATTAAAAAAAAAATCTTACACAGTCTCTGCATATCAAATTGCATTTTGCTTCTATTCCTGTTTTCCTCTATCTGACATGGGGCAACCTATTGGAAAGGAAGGTTGCTATTTTACATGTAAGGCTGACCAGAAAGGAATGCAAATAATTTTAAGTGGTGCTCCAGCCATGCAGTGTTTTGTCTCAGCACTCAGTGCTGTCAGTGTTCAGCCATGCAGCTGACGACAGAGTGATTGCATAAGCAGTGTAGAAAGACTGACCGACAACATAGAGTAGCAGAATGTATGAACGCTAATTGAGGATGTTGTCAAATGTCCATCTGTAAGACCTTTGCCCTCCTACAAAGCAATTTACGAAATTCTTTCTTTCTTTTCTTTTTTTTTAATCTGGTCTTTATCATAACCCCATTCACTGAATTGTAATTCCAACAGAATAGTTAGACATTTTTGGGAACAGGCTTTTTATGCTCTCTGGAGAAGAGGCCAGAAAGAAGATTGATATGTCAGCAGTCAGGTAGCTGACAGGAAGCTTGTCTTTCCCCAGAGTTCACAAAATCAGCCTACCAGGACCTCTCCCTTACTAAATCACATGGTATATCTCATAAACGTAATCTCAAATCATTACTTTAACTTAAAGGTAGTCTGCTTCATTCATGCAGTATTACATACAGTACAATATCTAATGCATATCTTAAAAAATGCCGCAAAGGCCTACTTTCAGACCTTGGAACTTCCACTTTTAAATGCACTATATCAATATACCTGTTGCGACTGTCAACATGTGCGTCATTTAATTCTTGTCACCCAGTGGGGCATGCTTGTAAAAGCTATAAATATCCCCAGGATGCTTGTGTTACTGATGGGACTGTGTTGGCAGCACAAAGCACTCATGAGCTCATACGAAAAGGTTCGCTCACCTCACTTGGCAGGGTTGGCTGAGACACAGACACATTTTTTTGGCTGGGCCTTGTTTCCTTCACAGACAGCTGATCTCTGGCTGGTTCACATGGACGTTGAGGCAAAGCAGTCCGACTGTGACACGGTGAATCAACTGACTCACTGTGTTTGAGTGCTAAAGATCCCTCAGAGGAAGGTTTTGACTTCACATCAACATCCATAGCTACAACGTGTTCTGTTGTATGAACGTCCTCCTTTAACATTCTTCGGAGTATTGATGCAACACTTGACGGTGGTTGTGTTGAGGAAACTTGAGGATTTTGTTTCTGCATCTCTAAAGTTTCCTCTGTGCCTTTGCTTCCAGTTCCTTTCTCATGTTTTGCAGCTTTTTTGTCTTCGGCCGCTGACACAGTAGAACTTGTAGATGCAGAAGAAGTAAGAGTTTTTTTCTGTGAAGACACAGTTACCTCAGTGCATATGTTGACATCTTTAGAAGGCCTTTCAGAAAGTCTTAATTCCTCTGTTGCTGATTTCTGATGCTCTACAACATTTCTAACCTCTGATTCCACGATGGATGAATGAGCAGTGTTCTCTACTTCCATCACCTCTTCTGAATTGCCCTGAGACTGTACTGCCTCTGTGCAGGCTGGAGCTACAGAGGGTGAAGTCTCATCCTTTGTCCTTCTCTCCCCAGACAGCCTCTCTCCCAGAGTTTCTGCTTTTGCAACTTTTGCACTGTTGGAAATTTTAATCTTCTTCTTGATGAAAGGAGTTTTCGGTTGGTGTGCGGTGAAAATCTTCTGGGCAGAATCATAAACGTATGTTCCTCCTTTACTGCCACTGTCACTGATGGCTTGTCCATTAGTTAAAGCAGACACTGCTCCATTAGTGACTGAGACTGGTTTTTCTTCAGCTTCCTCCACAGTGGCCTCCTGTAACCTGGACTCAGTCTCTAGAGCCACAGCCTGATGGTTCTCCTCGTTGCTCTCGTCCTCCGTGGAGCTCGGTGTGCTGAGAAACGCCTCCATTGTCGAACGGCGTTTTCTCTGCGTGCGGTCTGGACTGATGGTTCGCAGCGGCTCCTGGTTTTCTTTCCCTTCTGCTTCCCTGCGTCTGTTCTCGGCCTTCTGTTTGAGCTTGCCAAAGTATCGCTGGTGGATTTTGAACTCGTTCATTTCACCCACCTCCAGAACCCCAGAGCAGGACACAATGCCTTTAGTGTTGATGGCTGAGGCCTGGTAAATAGCTGCATCCTCCACACTGCAACTGCAAATTGAATAAAATGATATCAAGCAATTAGCGATTAGCATCAAAAACACAATTCAGTTTGATGTAATAACAGTGGTTCAAAATATACATACTTGTAAATGTGCAGGGAATGATTTTGTCCATTGCGGAATATTTCATATTTAGGCAGTCCACAGAATCTGTCCAACTGCATGTCATCCTTATACCATGTAACTTGAGGAGCAGGGTGTCCTGGAAAAAAAAACCCAAATGAAAAACAGAACATCAGGGTATTATTAAAACAATTCAGTATTAAGAAAGGTTTACTGTTTTAATCGTGTCAGTACAGAGTATTTGATATGAGTTGTTTGTGGTTTTCACTTCCCCTGAAATATCACAGCCAGAGCATTACACATGCATTGACTGGTGGTTCTCAAACCAGGGGGCCCAAGATAATTTCAGTGGGTCTCCAGATCATTGTTAAAAATAAAAAATTAAATAAAGCCTACATTTTTCAAATAAATGTGTATTCGGGCTGTCAAATTAAAAGTGTACACTTCCCACATTTTCTTGTTTTTATATTTTTTTCCCTTTCATTTGTTCGAATTCAATTCAATTCATTCAAAAGAAAATGAATGTGTTAATATAAAGAGATTAATCTGTGGATATAACACGTTAATTTTTAACGCATTAATGCATGAACAACAAAGTTATTACTCATGCCATATTAAAAATGTAAATTGGGGGGTCACGAACACACGAACACAGTCGTGGCTCAAAAAGTTTGAGAACCACCGGCTTAGACAATACAGCATATCATTGTATGCTCCTGCAGTGTATTTCAGTTCGGTCACAAACCTCTTGCAAAGTGTTTTTTTTACAGGATGTAACCTGTGATGCAGTGTTTACCTGTGACCACACAGGAGAACTTCACGTTGCAATTTTCGGACACAGCTTTTGACTTCAGGGTCGTTTCAAAGAAGGGCTGTGTTTCTTCAGTTAGCTGAGCCATCACGCTGCAAAGTGTACTCCTGTCGATGAGAAAGGTAAATCATGATGTTTCTATATTAATTTATAATATTCCATACAAACTGGATTATTTGGCAGTTTATTGACTCAAGAACAAGAGCTGACAGGATTATATGTTGTGTTTTTCCGGCCTACGTGTCAGCAGCAGCTGTGGTCGGAGGCATTACGTTTTCAGGTTGTCAAGTTATCCGTCCATTCTTGTGAACAAGAGATCTTTTAAATGCCTTGGGGGAAATTTCTTTAATTTTGGCACAGACATTCTCTTGGACTCAATGTTGAACTGATAAGATTTTGCTGGTCAAAGGTCAAGGTCAGTGTGATATTATATCTCTGCCCTTCCTGTGAACGCAGCATGTCGGGAACGCTTCATGGAATTTTGTTCAAATAAGGCACAAACATTTACTTAGAATCAAGGATGAACTAAGAATTCATATGCTAATTATGGCAACATTTCACACAAATGTCCAACAGAATAAAGCAGTGAAGTGATGGCATTTTATATCCAAAAGGTCAGCTTCACTGTGACATCACAATACACAGCAAAAATGCTTTTCTGGCTGTTATTCAGCACCACAGCTCAGGAGCAGACGGGAGACTGTGACTGTATCCTTACATTTGGTCAGATTCTGCATTTTTGACACTGATCTTTTGTACCAACCCATTAAATTCCCCCAGTTTTAGTACATATTGAATACAAATGTGGACAGACATGGATGCAACTTCACTGGTTAGCAACAGCACACAATCACAAGATGGTAATTTAAATTAATTATGAAGCCAATTTGCACATTTTCAGCTCAATACTATCAAACAGGATGGACATAAAAACTGAAATAGAAACACAAAATGTGTTATTTATCTTGAGATCTCGCCCACGTTAACGCTGGATGACATTCTTTACATCATGACGGAAGCTAATGCAGCTCAGAGACAATGTCCAATTAAAACATTTTTTGTAACGACTGTGGAAAGCACATTTAGAATAGCTGTGAAATCACCTGTAGTTTAACAAAAACAATGTGAACTAAATATTTGCATATAACTGGAGGCAACATAAAGAAGACATTCTTCTCTTAAAGCTTAAAAAACTACATCAAGTGTTATTTTTGAACCTTCATTCCAGCAGTTCGGTGTAAATAGCTGCTATTTCTTCAAGCAGCTTCATTCGTCCACATGACATTAATTACAGGAATTAAAAATGTAGTGGTTCAAGAACGATGAACCGTTATAGCATGTGGAAATGTGTAAGAAACGTCACACACATGCAGTATAATAATAACGAAGATGGCTCGCGTGTCAATTAAAGGGGCATTATCGTCGTGCTTGTACATATTACATGCGGTTGATCCATGTCTGGTGTTGACACTCATTTCAGTGTTGGGTCAGTGCACAGTTAAAGGATACTGCCACGCTTCAGCGAGTATTACTTGTGATTAAGTAAACAAAAAACAAGACACTATGCTAAGGACAGCCTGGCTTTTCATTTATATTCACATTATGTATGGCTTATGATATGTGCACATGGCACTGCTGCTTAAGTTCGTGGAATTTAACGATAGTCTGAAGCTTGAAAAACACTAGAAATGTACCTATAAGTAGCTGAACCTGTAACCTCTTGTTAGTTGTTTTGCAGGATGTTTTTTTTGTTTAATAGTGTTTGCTGAAAATACTTTTAATCAAGCTACAAATTATAATGTCTACATCTTGCTGCAAAATAATCCACTGAATCCTGATCCTCATTTTGCATTTTGATGATACACTCAACACTTTGAAAGCAAGTGACATGAGCAGTTGTCCTGTTAACATCCAACGAAGGCTGACAAAATTAAAAAACTTCTTTTAATTTCTCTAAAGCGGCACTGTTGAATGGAGGTCAGGTTGACCTGCGGCTGTGGCTTGAAAAGAGAAACTGCTGTTATCTCAGCAGATCCTTCTATTCTTAATCTACAGTATCACTAAAGAAGCAGATTTGAAGGACAAGACCACTTGTGCCACGAACTGATCTTTCCATGCAGAAGCTGTTTTGTATACTTGATGTGAAATGGGGCCCATGGTGCATAACTGGGATTCTGTTCTTAATCAGCAGTTTATTTAAACTGCAGTGACCATGGCAACAAACAAAGAAATAACATGCGACACAAGTTTATCCGTTGTTCGGAAAGTCCTTAATTGTTGCTGTATTATAGAGCAAATGCTGGTCAGCGTGGTCTCTATAGAAGTGGACAGCACTCTGAGTTAGTCTGGGATCTGTACCTGTTTTCTGGCCTGATGTTGGAGAGGTAGCTGTAGCCACCAGGCCGGCTACTCCCACTGACATCATTGCCATTGCTGGACCTTCCATTCCCAAAAGAGGAGCGAGTTGTCATCCTCCGGGAACCCATTTTGCTCCAAATAAAGATATACGCAAGAAAAATAAAAAAGTTGTCCAGGAGAAAAAGTTATGAAGTTTTGTTGTCAGTTACTTTTGGACTTTTGAGATGAGAGATGAATACAAGCTAAAAGAAAAAAACAAAGAGTGGAAAAAATGAGAAGAAAGCAGAATAGATTTGATATTTAACATCAAAAACTCCTAATTTGAGTTCATCTATAGCTTAAAAACACAAACATCACAACAAGAGATGCTCTGTTAACGTATACGGTTCTTCTTGTACATGCTGTCCTATGCAGTATTTACACAAACGGCATTTAGCGGTCTATTTTATACAGTTAACTCACCATTCAGAAGCTTCATTCCCTCCTTTAACAGATACCCCACAGCACTGACTTCAGGCACTGCAATTTCCAATCAAACATGAGCATGCGTAGGCTCCGGGACTATTTATAGTTGGCCTGCAAATAGGCACAAGAGCACATCACTCTTTCCAAAACCCTCCTTTGGACCATTTTATAAACAAAAAAAAAACAATATACCACCTCACAAAAAAAGGAAAACCCTGCAATAAAAGTTCTGTAAGAAAACAAGAGCAATCCTTTCAAAAAAAAAAGAAAAGAAAAAAGGAGATTCCACAGTTATCCCATGTCAAACACAAGGTCGCACAAAGTTGGTAGTTCCTCAAATAGGAGAAGAGGATTTAAAAAACAGGGCAAAGGTTTTTTTTCTAAACCACGACCAGTGGGTTGCATGTGCTCAGAGAGGAAGCACTTGTGTGGTCAGTGGCAGGCTGCCCTTCTCAAACTTTTTAGCTCCGTGCACAGACTGTTGTAAAGAATCATATGAGCCTGTCAGTCAGGAGGATGACGCCTTTAGTTTTAGCTCCATTAATATGCGCAACGCATTCTTCCAGTCATACAGGATTACTTTCCTATCATAAAAGAGTGGCGTTAAGGCCTTGTTGACACAAGATTAGGAAAACTTAAAAACTTAAAAACAACAAAAAACTGTGTTACATTCATTCCATCATTAATGCAAATTATCTCTTTTTTTAAAAAGTTAAAAGTACGTTTTGATAATATAAAATACTACATGGTGAAGCCTACCAAGTTCTCTGGCATGCATTGTCCAGTGGCTGACAATTGCATTGGGTCCCCCGAGAAAACACAGTAGGAATAGAACAGCCTTATATAGGCAGATCCCACCGACTGCTAAAGGGCTACGGCCTCTTATCTTTACACAAGCATGCACGCACACATGTACACACACGCTGTTGCTCACACACCAGTGGTCAGTAGTTTTATGTATTTATGGTGAACCTGGAGGATATTTTACAAGATGTCCTGCTTTCTGTTCAATATGATTCATACAAACTCAGTCTGCGAAGACACCTGGTTGCCGTTTTCTTTTTCTTTCAACAAATTATTAAGTAAAAATTCAATGAACCCATAGTTCTGAGAACGAGGTGTTAAAATGGCCTCAAAGAATGCTTTATTTTCCCCCACCATGTCCTTCTTCCATGGTAAACAAACTTCAAACCCTCCAACTTGTCTTTGAACTGACTGGCACTGGCACTACTATGAGTTACAGCTTCCTGAGTGTGTTATCCCTAAATCGAGTTCAGAGATATCAATCAGAATTATCTCTCATGTTACCTCATATGCTCCTCATATTGCACATGCCTTTGAGCCTTCCTGCCAGCTATTTCTTTTTTTTTTTTTTGGTCCATCCATCCATCACGGCCCTTTTTAACTACCACATTTTCCATTTTTCTTGCCAGATAGTTGATATACTGACTTAACTTAACGACCAGAAATAAACAAAGAATTTAATTTCAAAATAAAGGGAACATTTCAGTAAATGCAATATGTAAACAATTTTACAAACTATGAGGGTCCTTTAACCCTCAAAACAGACTCATACATAGCATTGGCATTGCATATCAGAATTCAGAATTCCTTAAGTTACAGCACGCCCTACACACCCTACACACCCTACACACCCTACACACACGCACACACTGGGCTGATAGACATTTATGGGCTGCAGGGCCTTGTACTGGACTGTCTGCCATGCAGCCCCTGTGGACGGGCTGGAAAACACAGTTGCCTCAGCATGATCTGGATATTCTGGATGGGGTGTGTACAGGGAGATCAAAGCACAACAGGGTGTGGAAGCGCTGCATAAGCTGGGCGACTCCGTCACGTCACTGCACTTGACTGTGTATCCCCCTTAAGTGTGTGGGTAACCTGCTGTTGGTTGAGGAGGAATTTTCTATTTTCTATATGTATATGTCATTCGGGCTGATATACAGGTAATAGTTAAAGGTGATAGTATATAACAGGTAACAGTAGGACAAGTAGTATGTATGTATATATTTCCTTGCTGCTCGTGTCATATCATTCCCTCTTTGTATAAAAGAAATCACATTTCAACAGCCCCTCTCCCTGATTTCAGCGTTGCACGTCCATTGCCTCATGTTTTGCTATGTATAGCACTTTACAAAATCCTGTTGTGGTTTGGTGTGACAGATTTATAGCAGGGCTTCTGATGATGCTCTCTCAGATCACTACCTCTGCCCTTGTTTACACCATTATCTGTCCTTTGCAAACATAATTGTGCACTAACAGAAATACAGGGTTCGTCATGCAGGGCAAATGTAAATTGTTATAATCAGTCATTATAACCTGAGTGGTAATGGACAAACCCACGTCTACAGGACTGTTGTTGTCCAGGATGTGTGCAGAGGTGTGTGTGTGTGCGCGCCAGGTGAAGACAGGGATAGACTCAGATAGGTTCAAAGCAGGTTGGACAACTGTCAGCTCTTCAGTTTCACTGTGGCATTTATTTACCAGCTCCATGGACATCCAATAAATAGTGACCTTTCAACGTGTGGTCATGAACCTTTTTTCTCTCGACTTCCTCTTGTCGCTCACTGTTTTTCCTGCGATAATGTCATTAACACAGACTCAAAAGACAAGAGGAGAAAGTACCTTTTTCCACGAAAATAAGCTTCAGCTATCTGAGTAGCTGGCCATCAGAGAACACCTGCCTTCAGCATCCATTATGCCCTTTCATGCACGAAGTCAGGCAAAATAAATGCCAGTGTCGTTCCATTTTTCTGTGCAGTCACAACATTTTGTCAGGGTTACAGGATGGATGCTGCTTGTAGCTTCTCTCCAGGTGAAGTAGCCTCACAACTGGTGCCTTTGTGTTGCATGACAGAGTCTGTTATTTGTCATCTCTGAAGCATAGAATTTGAATGGGTAAAATGGACATGTTCACAGGCGTTGCAGTAATCCTCAGAATATGGTGATGTAAACTTCATCTGACCCATTTGAGGCCAAGTGGTCAGACCATGGTTTGAGCGAATGTGTGCTGGTCAGTACTGACATACAGTTTACGTGATTTTGAAAGCCTGCTGATTAAAACTATTTCTGACAAATGGTGCTCCGAATAAACTGTACAGAAGATTTGCCCTGTTATTATGGCCAGAGATTTATTTACATGTATTGTCTTACAACATGCTGGTTGGCTTTTTCTTATTCTTCATGTAAGTTATATAGAAAATTGTAATTAACTATTTGATGTTGCTGTGGAGCAGATAAACTCCTGAGACAAATCGCTACTTTTAAAGCTACATGAAACACCAGCTGCATGGGAACACGCTGTTCTAATTCAACCGGGATATTACGGTTCCCAGATCCAAGATGGTTTGAGTAGTGAGGTGTCGACACAGACGCACGGGGAGAGGGGATACACCAGTGGACAAACAGGGGAGGAGGCAGTTATAATTGGGATTCTGATCATAGAATAATGAATCTCTCTGGGACCTGGGCCAAATTCGTGCATTTATAGGATCAGAAGTTGGTGGAATATATCCAGGTATACCTGATTCCCGTAGCATATAATAAAAAGAAAGAAAAACATCAAATAAACCTGTAATCGGCCTAAGCGATGTAATTTCATAAAGACCTGCTGAGCACTGCCATGAGAGTTTACTGGCAGTTGACTGGCCTGGTGCCAAGTGCACCCCAAAACACCATCCTGCATGCACGCACAGTTGGACAGCAGATTGTTTTGATGTTTGACAGGTCTCTGTGGAAACTGAGCTTGGCTTTGTACGGCCGTCTGGCCTGCTGCTGAGGTTGTGACATCATCCCCTGGATATTCACACCAGTGTCAGCTCCAAGGAAGCAGAAACAGGAGAAGACTTGACCTCCAAGAACAGCTGTGTGTCGCACACACTCTTACACACATCTCGCCTTTATGTAGCACTGCACTGCTCGCACTGACTGCTGCCAATCACATGCACAGACAGTAAACATGCACTGCTTGCGGTTTCTATACTGACTAATGAGTCTAAGGTTATACTGCACGGGAAGCATAATCCTGTTGGACAGAATCTAAATGCCACTATTATATATAATTATGGAATAATAAATCAAAGTTTTAGGATTGAGGAAGCTGAAAACTGATTTTCTTACCAGAAGCAGATGAATGACATTACGAGTAGAATTACTGCAAACTTGGAGATGAAGTGAAACATGAACTTCAAGTGAGGGCTATTAGAATTAAATACTAAATATTTAAATCCCAACACAGTATCACTTTCAGTATTTTTTGTCTTGCAGCACATATTTCAAGTATAAAATATCAACAACTCAGCGCTGAGCACAGCTGCTGTGAGAACTTATTTTTCTCCTTTTTGTTCCTAATAGCAAATGTACACATTTATTCATAAATATCTAAAACTGACTACAAGCAGCAGATCAAATCCTCCAGACATATTTCTAGTATTTCCTTGGTTCACTTGAGCGTCTTACTGAATGAATTCAGCAGCTAGAATTGCAGTGTCCTCTAGTGGTAACAGCTGGAGCTCTACAAGATGTTTGGATATTTCACGCAAAAGCAGAAAATCCTGAAGAAAATTTAAATGATTTGAAAGTGGACATGATGCCATTTTATTTTGTGATTTAAGCTGATAGAGGAGTATTGTAAACACGATTTCACATGTAAATCTGGTTCATATTTAGCATATTTTTTATTTAAATTGGACACAAACTCCTGAGTAGTCATATGCAACATATTTACTATTGTAATCAAACAAACAAGCACAGACCTACTTGTTACGCAGACTGAAGCGGCCTCCCAAGTCCACACTACTATGAAAATCCTACACAGTATGACCCATGTACTGATGATGCACTAACTCTGTTTTCTACAGCTACTTTAATAACATGTCACCATATTTTACCATTTTATACTAACAGGAGATAAATATCTGTGATGCACCGGTAAGTAAAAAAAAAAAATAAAAATTCTGAAAAAAATACTTTTTCCCAAGATTTTTTGAAACAGTTTCTTCAATTAAATTTAAATGAATTACTTTTTCCCCAATTGTGCACTCTACTGTAAGTGAATAATATGCATGTTAATGGTGCAGACAGTCTGGACAGACTATACTTCACTTTGTCTCTCGTCCAGTGTGAACACCAGATACTCCAACCTGCTGCAGTATTTATAGTAGTGTGGATTTGACATGGTAACAAATTGTAGTCTTTAGACAAGTTGAGGTCTTTAGAAAATGTAACGTAATCTCAATGCAAGAAATACCCTTCTGACCCAAACCATTTTACCAACTTATAAACACAGAATAGAAAAAGTACAAATAAAATAACAGTATTTAAAATATAAAATGGTAACCAGTAAAGGGCATAATAAAAAAAAAAGAGGATATCTGCTGACTTTGTAATGAACAATCACTGATTTCACAGTAACTTCATTACTTTGTAGTAATTTGTGTACCATTAGTTTGTCTTGCTCTTCTTCTTCAGCATGTCAACAACAGATGGAGCTTTGCGCTTTACACCTTAGAGAAAAACACAAGGAGAAATATTTTAAAAAGAGGACTTACTGCAAACACGACTAACGTCAAAGGAGACAAAGCTCTTGAGAGAGTGTCTGTTTCTTGCAATACCTTGCTTTTTGCTGGGTGACTCAGTGGTGTCTGGGGATCTCTTTGCATAAGCCATCTTCATTCTCTGAATGTTTTTCTTGCTGATCACTTCATGCTCGACAATGGGACGCGGGTAGTCTTTACCCACAATGCATCCTGCTGCCTGCTGGATACTGCGTGGAGCTTTCCAAGGTTCATAGATGTACTGTGCTGGGAACTTCTTTAGGAGAGGAAGGTACTTTCTGCAAACAGAATACAGTTGAAATAACTGGATACAATACGTGCTCAGAATTTGAGCTTAACAGGTTTACAATCTTACTTGATGTAGTCTCCATTTTTGTCTGTCTTCTTGCCAAAGGCGACAGGAGAGTAAACTCTGAAAAACTGGTGGAAGAAAGTGCTGGCTGACAGCCACTGCCAGTTTCCAGCATTCAGAGCCCAGTCGCCATCCAATAAAAGCTCCTCAAACACCTTCAGGAGCAGAGAAGAGAATGAGATAAACTAGATCTCCACTGATTTAGCATTGCATTCATTTCTATAACATTGCTGGACTTCTCTTAGACAGTTAAAAACTAAAACAAGGATAAAACCAGGAATTTTTAATTTAATTTTAATTCAATGCATTTTTCTTTTCTCTCAAAACCTACACATGACCCACAATGCATCTAGATTACTAAAGCTCAGGTTGAGATTCTGCTCTATTAAGCAAGTAGCAGCTAATAGACCTTATCTTCAGTTTATTTGATGAATTTGAATATTAGTCGTCTGTAACAGTACTTTGCAGTATTTTGTAGTTCCAAACAGCTAAAGATCAAAATCTTCAAGATTTTAATTAAAAGACGGTCCTGTTAGTCTGAGATGCTGTTCAGATTTGAAAGCGCCATTTGCAGAACCATTTCATCAATACGTCACCATCATTACTTGTTATTTTTCAGTTGTCTGTCATATAGACACATTCATCCATGTGCTGTGGGCCTTCCCGGGTTTTGTGTTTGTTCTTTGGTGAAATTAACCATATGTAAATTATACATGCGATATAATTTAGACACCTTCTGTCCTTCTTCCCAGTTGATCCACAGGTCTCCCCTGGTGAGGAAACAAGCGACGGCGTGTCTGGCCAGGTGGTGGATCCAGCCCTCCTGTCTCAGCTGGGTCATGATGGCGTCGATGAAGGGGAACCCAGTCCGAGCCTTAAAGAACATGAATTATAACTTATACCAAAAGTTAGATTACATTAGATAGATTGAATTAGATACATGAGATACACATTATTACAACTCTTCTTCCAGTGCTCTCAGCGACACTTTCATTTATGGAGTCAATCTTAGTACCTCTCTCCATGCAGCTAGATGTTCAGGATTCGTGTCCCAGTCCACCTGCGTGCACACATGGTTGCCCTTCATCTTGTTAAAGTTCGGGATTCCCACACTGGCAGTGTAGAAGAACTCTCTCCACAGTAACTGGCCATGCAGAGAAACTGGAGGAGCTGAGTGCTTTTTCTGATGAAACAAATCACACAAGTTACAGCCACACAAGAGAGAACTTCCATTTGAGACCATCAACTGTGCAGGCTTGTTCTACCGGCAGAAACTACACTGTGACGCCCCACTCACCCCCTGATAGACGTCCGTGAGCCTCCACCAGAAGGTTCTCACTGACAAGCAGCCAAACGTGACATATGGACTGAGAACGGTGGTGCTGGGGCTCAAAGAGTTTGGAGAAGTCTGCGGCTTCTCAAAGTTGCACACCCATCCCTGGATAAAGGAGACAAGAGGTGAAACTAGTGAATCAGACAGAGAATATATATGTTATCTGTCAGAACAAGATGACTCAATCAAACGTTGTACATGTCTGGCTTGGAGGTTGATATTCTCGTCTCTTTCTCATTCAAGGTGACTTTCTTGGTTTCTGTCTAAAATTATCTCGTTTTGTCGATAGTTCACAGCCTTCAGTGTTGCAGATAAAGAGGAGCTGTGGGTGTGAAGCTCATATACCGTTCTTTTCATATGTTCATCTAGTCTCCTGAGGGCCTCCTGTTCTCCTCCTGGGAACAAATCCTCTCCAAGAGATGTGGTGTCGTGGCCGAGCTCCTCCAGTGCAGGAATCCCATATTTCTCCTCGTGTTTTTCTGAACAGGGCGTCTTCACATCTTTGACAGAGGAGATATGTTTAATCTAGTGCTGCAAAAATTTCACATCTGTATGTTTCGAGGAATGTGTTTATATCAATGCAAGATATAACTTTTATTCCAAAAGTTAATTCAGCGACATTATCTCGTGTTTCTGGCAGTGACATACCTTTCATGTTTTCCATGGCTGGAGCAGGAATCGGCCTTTTAGGGGAACCGAGACCCTTCACTATTGCCTGCAAACGGTTGTATGTAAGGGGAGTCTTTCCATTGTTTTCCTCAATTATTCTGTTAGGATACAACAAACACTGTAATAAAATACAGGCAACAGAGAGAAAACTGTGAGTCAAACTCCAACTGTGTCTGCACGCTCAGCATGAGTAATACCTCTCTATGTCATAAAGAGTGTGTGAGATTTTGTAGATGACTTCAACTCCATGCTCTTTGGCGAGCTCGGTCACTTTTTTGTCGCGGCTCAGACTGTAGGGCTCTGTGTCGTACTCATAGGTCAGCTTTGTCACGTTCCACTTCTGAAACAACTTGGGGAGCACATCCTCTGGCCTCCCCCTCATCACGAACAGCCTGAGGAATCAAACACAACACAATACATGTTTGGTAACACCAGTCTGGCTTACATCTTATGCAGACAAGATATTTATTAAGATCTAGTAGTGCTATTCAGTTTTCTTTTTGGACTGATTTTTGATTAAAAAACAGTTATTTTAAAATGTGCTACTTTGGCTGTGATGCAGCTACCTCCATACATCTGTAGTCACCACTCCGATCAGCACTGAAGGATGAATGTTGCAAAGTTCTCTTTTAATTAAACATTTGTAAAACATAAATGAACCAAGCATTTCAACCAGGTTTTGTGTTGGGATTTAAGTCATTCAAAATGCTGAAACTGAGATTTTTACAGCAAATATGTATTGGTTGATCCGTATGGTAATAGCCATTCAACATTACAAAAGCAACAACATCAATATTCAATATGTAAAATATCAATGTTCAATATTTCTGAATGTCGCCTGTGTTTCTACCTAGAGTTGAGTTTCCTGAGGCTGCAGTCCAGGTCTTTGAGGGCTCCAATGAGGAACCTCCAGCGGTTGATGCCCACGCAGGTGTTGTTATGGAGGTGAGGGTCCAGGATGAACACGGGGTACAGTTCCTTACAGTCCCTCAGAGCAGCCATCAGTGCTGGGTTATCATGCAACCGAAGTCCCTTGCGGAACCAGTGAATACATGTTTGAGCCATGCCTACGAACCTGTGAACGCATACATCACAGATGTTAAGTTGGGATAATATGAGGAGATAGAACTTTATTAATCCTGACGTAAATTCTTGTGTCAGATATGCTAAAAATAAAAGGATGAGTGAAAGCTAATAGAGTTCAAAGAGTTTGAGTCTCACATAAACTAATGTGCATTTTAAACACTGGAGTTTTCTCCTAACTGTGGAGATTTTTAGAAGTAAGCTCAAGACAGCTCCTTTTCCTACTGCTTTTAATTCATCAGTTATATTTCAGAATAAACTGATTATCAACCTGGCTGATTACTGGGGCTAATATTTAGTATTTTCTGAATATCTGTACTGTTATTTTTACTAACCAAATATGAATAAATTAACTCCTTTAGGTCTGATGTAGCTGCCTCTCTCTGTGGTCTGAAGCAATGTCTCTCTAACAGAGACACAACCTGTGAAACCTGCACAGGAAGCTAAATCAGCTCACCTCTGGCCTAAACTGCCTGTACTTCTACTACACTGGTCTGTACATTCTTCCCTATTTAATTCTAAGTCCTTTTTGTGTTTAACGGTGTGATTCATTTCTTACATGATTACATTTTCCTGATATTTGAACTTTTTTTCTCCTTATGTTTTAGTTAACCAGTTTTCATTATTCTTTACTTTCTTATTTGTGTTCAGACTTCCAAAGTCTATTTGTGCCATTTTTCTTCTTGTTGCTGGAAGACTTTCAACTGCAATTACATTAAATGTGTGTGAAAGTGTCTGCATAATGACAATAAAAAGGATTCTGACTCAGATTCAGATTCCATAATGGAAGTGCAATTTATTTAACTTTTCTGTGGTGTTTCTGATTTATTTAATGTAATTAATGTAATTTAATTCTTCAGTATGTTTCACTTTTGCCTGTAAAGCACTTTAAATAGCCTCTGTGTATAATAAAGTGCTATATAAACGAACTGGTTGTCTTTTAGTTATCTTTTTTTTTTCAGAGAAGTGATTTTGAAGCTACAAAAGCCAATAAAATCAGAAAGACGTTGCTCTGCAAATGGTTATCTCGTGAAGTTATATTTCAAATAAATGTCATTAAAAAAAAAAAACAACTCTACTGTAGTTAACAGAACTGCAGGGAAAACGACACATTAGAAAGTTTTCAAATTCGTGTCTGAATTAAACACCAATTTGCAGGAGACTGTGTAGAGCTGTCACCACAAGCCCAATACAGTAAACACACATCGTGATAACAAAAGTGCTACACCGTCAGTGAAACACTGAAAAAAAAACAAAATGGTGCACAGTGGAGAAGCAAAAATATTACCTTAATCGCGACTTAAAACGTACAGTTGTTCTCTGTTGCCTCTCTGCTGTGTTTACTGAGAAACTCGGTGTTTGGTAACGTGCACGCTGACTCTGTTACAAAACGGGAAACAGCGTCACGTGGGCAGCAGCGTCAGCCAATCAGAGGCAGCAGTTTACGGTCCGTCCACCAGATGTCAATGTTGCGCTGAACGTAACGGACGTCAAACATTGTCACAAAATGAGTCGCTTAAAGCTGTTAAAAGCTGCATTCTGCTACGTCTGTGGAGCCAGGACATGTGGGAAAGTCTAAATCACTCAGCTGCAAGTCACCAGAGTGAAATACGAAAAAATGTTTTGAGGCGATGTGCGGAGTTTGCTAAAGACACCACGTTTTTGCTTCTCAATAGTCACCAGCTCATCGTAGCTCGCCGTGATCGTATAGTGGTTAGTACTCTGCGTTGTGGCCGCAGCAACCCCGGTTCGAATCCGGGTCACGGCATTGTGGGACAATGTCACGGCAGATGAGCTGTCTTTTGATTTTCTGTACTTCATATTTATCGTGGACACATGCAGTTAGCAATTAGTTGTTTAAACGTTTCCTTTATACTATACTAAGCAACAGCTCGTTTTGCTGCTGCATGAAAAACACCAGCTCACTCTTTTTTATGGTGGTCTACATCGTTCAGCCTACCATTGAAAGCAACTCAGTTTTTAATTCAAGCCAAAATACAAAGAAGACGATGGCTATGAAGTTATTTATTAATGTATTTATTTTTTTTATCACTTCCCCGTCGTTACCGATAAGCACCACCAGAGGGCGACATAGTAGGAGAAACTGTAGACTTGGACCAAATTCATCCAGCAGAACTCTTTCTCTGCACTAAGAAAAATAAGCAAAGCACTTAACTCCAGCTGATTAAATTCAAGAACATGACAGATACTGGAACTAGAATAAACACAAGTCCTTTAATAAATGTATCCTGTTCAACACATTACCCCTCTCTGCCTTTTGCATACTTGTGTTGTACTCTTGTTTTGTTGCACATTATTATTTGCTCTACACTTCCCACGGGACTTTTCTACTTGACATATTACACTGATTGTACATTTTGCATTATACATTTCTTATTGTTTATTTTTGCTTATTTATCTAGTAACTTTATCTTTGTGCTGTAACAACCATATTTCCCCTTGGGGGATACCAAAGTATTTCTATTCTATTGTTTTAAAGCAAAGGATGTGTCTATGGATTGTTACTCTGATGTAGGAAACGATTCCAGCTTTCCAATTCTTCTTCTTATTTATTTATTTATTTATTTATTTATTTTATTTTATTTTTTACATTTTCAGACCACTTTGGAATGAAAAAACAAAAGTGAAAACATTTTGCATTGTTAACTTTAAATCATGAGTTAAATGATGAAACAGCGAAGAGTTTACACAAGTTATCTTATGAAGCTTGTACAAAAAATAAATAAATAAAATAAAAATAAAAACAAAAACACATGTTAGAGCCAAATTCATTATTTTATATTTGATAATATTACAGTTGAAAGTAAAGTGGTAATGTTAAAGATCGATAACTTTATCATGATTCTGGAAAAATGTATTGAATAAAATGCATAATTTAGTAATGTTAAGTTTAAAATAGATTTGAGTTTGAGCTTCCAGTCAAGAGTGTCATTGTAATGCTGCTGATGAAGCTTAATTCATCAGATTGAAGCCACAGACCTTGGAAGCGACAGGTTTTTTTTGACCATCTGATTTTGTATATTTTTATTTCCTATTAAACCCTTGAAATGAAGAATTCGTCCCACTCGCATTTCAAATACTTGTTGCTAGACTGACTTCAAACAGCGATACAGAAGACGACGGAACAGAGTGCCACTACAACAAGTATATAAGCAGACTTCCCAGGGTGCCTTGTTAGAGTGTTAAAACTCTCCAGGGACTCGCTTGTGCTTTTTTTTGTAGTTTGAGGAAACAAAACATGGTGGACACTTGGTATATGTCTGTAATGAAGGGCAGTTTCATTACCTATATGGTAGTTCACATTCTGGGATAAAGACATAATAAGACACAAGACAATGACTGTTAGATAGCTTTAATGAGCTTAGCTTTGGGGCTAACAATTGCTGCCATGTGCTGTTTGATGGCCTCTCCTTACAGCACTGGGTGAAAACCCTGGTGAGGCCTACAAGACAAAAAAACAGTTTTAGTAACATGATTAAGTGACTGGACTTAATTAAAACTGAATGACCATAGAAGTGGGTATGTGGCATTATTTTAAGAATGTATAAATTGAAAAGTTTGAGTTGACTCACATCTTGTTTGTCTCCTCAGGTGTTCCAGTACAAACACAAAAGTCCCAATGGGCTGAAACACATTTTTAAAAGGTTCTGGGACAAACCAAGTGTGGGTGAGGAGAGGGTGAAAAATAATTTCTTCAGGTGATAAAATAAATGCATTGCTCGATGAGGATGTTGGTAGTAATTTTTAGGAAATAAATATTCGGTTTTAATGTTTGTTATTATAGTCAAAGGTAAATATGTGTTGTATTTTTGTGTATTTCTTGTGTTTGATTATTTTAGGTTAACCCTTATGTTGGTAGGCCTGAGGGACTGATTAGAGGCTGCCTATAAAAAGCTGGCAGTTGCGCAAGACCAAGGCCAGGGGGTTCCTCAACATGCCACCAGGTATCTGCCTTGCTGTGTTTGTTTTTAAATTGTTTGTTGTTGTTGTTGTTGTTGTTTTTGTTTTGTAATGTGAGATTGGTCTGCTCCTTCTCTTGCCTCAAGCCTCCTGCTTTATCCAGCCACAAAACGGTCATCCTAACAATGTCTTTGTTAAATTAAATTCTGGTTGTTTCTTTTCACAATATTTAAAAATAAATAAGTAAATTCTAAGCATGAAAAAGGTTATTACTGTATTTAGTGTCTACGTCCACAGTTTGACTATTGTGCTCACCGTGTCCAGGAGCACTTACACAGATGGTCTTTGTACTGAATCTGGTCAAAATGGTTTGTTTCTTTTCTTTCTTCTGCTGAGGCTGTAAGCTGTCAGGGCTATGTGGAAAACGAACATGGTACATTTCAGAAAACGTGATGGACAAGTATGTCTGCCTGTAACTATGTGACTAATTGATTCAGCTTAATTGATCAAGTTTATTAAAAAATGTTTTCTTAAGTTAATTTGTCTCAGCAAGTTTTACTGTCATAGGATGACTTAAAGGTAATTCATCAACCAAAGTGAAGATAAGTCACATTCAAATGATTTGGAGCGAAGAAAGGTAATAGTGTGATGAGATGTTTCTCTTTGTTTTATGTGGCTTCATATAAACCATAGTTAAGTAGATTACATGTATGGGACATGAATGACCTGCCTGAGGAAATCAGGTCAGCAGAGTCTGTGTTCTCTTTTAAGTCACTTCTTAAAACACATTTTTATCGGAGAACTTTTCCTGATTTTTATTTATGTTTTATAGCCTCTTGTTCTTCTGACTGGTTTTATCCACAAAGCTGGTTCATAAAACAAAAATTAAATTACTATTTGTGTGTTTTATTATTGTTGTTTTGTTTTTATCTTATTCTGTGTGCTTTATTTTATTTCATTTTTAATCTTTTCTTTATTGGAAAGCACTTTGTTTTGAAAAGTGCTCTATAAATAAAGTTTGTTATTATTATAAGACATGAAGGTTAAAATACAGGAATTTTAAAAGCTCTTGCTGCCTTCAAGTGCAGTCGGAAAAATCGATCTTAACTACAGAGCACAAATCGAGAAAGTGGTAAATTGGAAAGTCTGACTTGTGATTGGCTTCTTAGATGTGACGTGAGTCGAGGGCAGCCTATGAGCTTATTTCAAGAACATTTGGGTAATTCATAACAGTTATTGATTGATCGATTCATTCTCCAACGTGTGCAGCAGCACAGCGCGTCTGCATGCTCGTCTGACTTGTAAAAGTGCAGGCCTCGCTCTGTTATCATTCCCAACATGTGGCGATAGTCACGACCTTCAGCAGCCTATCGGAATTTCTGCTCCTGTCGGTAAATCAGTGAAGGCAGCACCTCAGTCTGAGCTCCGTTGGCTGACTGACTCGCCATTCAAGCAGCAGCCCGCCCAGCAGCACCGAGAGCGGCATGGCAACGGCGGGGAGACGGGGGGAGAAGGTGTGGTGAGGGGTGACAGTTTAACCGGACCAGAGAGCAGCAGCAGCAGCAGCAGCAGAGGCAGCAGAGGCAGCAGCACTGGTTCACTCCTCGCTGACTGGAGAGACGCGGGAGGCTCCAGTCAGCGCTTCACACACCACAGCTGATCAAACGATGCGCCACCGCCGCGTCTCCGCACAGTCGCCGCCGCTGACCAGGTGTTGGAGCAAAGAGCAAGGACGTCGTTAACGTGACAGAGAAATTTGTTTAAAAAGCCAAACTTGTATGCACAGCCTGTGTGCTGTGTTTGCACTTCTCTCTGGTCCCGTTCGCAGACGATCGAGAAGATGCTGAGCCGACTGATGAGCAGCAGCATCAGGAGTCTGGACAGGGAATGCAACTGCACTGTGAGACTGCTGGACGACTCGGAGTACACCTGCACGATTCAGGTCAGTGGTGTGCAGCGTTTCCTGCCTCTCAGATCACCTTGTAGCGGAGGACGTGCTAATGACACGGGGTGGTGAGCAGGTAAAACGACGCTTCCCCGCTCGTCTCTCTCTCTCTCTCTCTCTCTCTCTCTCTCTCTCTCTCTCTTTCAATCTGCTGCTTGCAGGAAAACATTGAGATTAAAGGATCTGTTTGGTTCATTCAGCTCCACAGCACATCTGGTCGTGTGTTAATGCCCGTCATCGTGGGGCTGCATGCGTGTTACTTTGGTCAGACACCATACCTGTGTGGACGTGACATCATGACCGCATGTGGTGTGTGCATTGCGTAGCAGATTTAAAGGACTGTCAGACAGCACTGTCTGCCAAAAGAAAACACATCTCTGCATAAGCTGTTGTCATTCTGGCAGCTTTATGCATGCATTGATTTGAATGCATTATTAAACTAATCTGGATAATCAGATCTTGAACGATTTCAGTGGAGGGCTCAGTGAGAATGTCTGGATCCTCTGACTAACATGAGCCAATCAGAGGCATAAGAGGATTTGGTAGACAGCCAGGGTAAGCTCAATGTTGTTTAGAGTCCAGGAAAAAAAAAACAAAAAAAAACAGGGTGGAGATCTCCCAATTAATGCTAACAAAGCTGGTGCCATAGTCTCAGCTGGTTGCCCTTCAGACTGATCCGTGTTTGACCGAGGAGTTGGCGCTTTGCAGTGATGAGGGAACTTAAATTCCTTCAGTAAGGACACATCCTTTTCAAATCTACAATCATGAATACATCCCCAAAGGCTGCTGCAGCAACACCACATTGATCCAGACATAATTGGATCTTTAAACATTTAAAACTAAATGAGAAATGCACAGTGACTATCAAGAGTTCCTTGTTGTCTATATAGTTTGCTTACTATAAATATGGCACAGACCACAAACTGTGTGTAAAAGATGGACATAGCATCTGGATCTAGAAAAGTGGAGCCAATGCTGAAGTAGTCTTGCATTGCCAATGGTCTGGTTTATCATTCCGCTATGGGGCTAAAACACTTTTTTGTAAGTTGTTACACCAGCTACAGTTGTTTTGGGTGGAGCTAAGCCCGGGATGCAGCAGCAACGTCCCCTCAAAACTCGTGATGGGGGAATTGTTTTGGTGGAACATTTGCACAGGGAGATGAGCACTGTCACTAAAATGGATAAGCCACCAAAATTAAACAAAACTAGCAGAGGATTTGATTCAAATCCTCGGGAAAACTTTGCAGCATGGTCGGTTGCTGCATGGAGGTTGTTGTTTACTGTAGCAAAGAAACTGTAACGCGCAGATAGCGAAGGAGAAGGACAAAGCTGCCTGAAATGAGCGGCCAGCGGCAGGGTTACACCATCCGGCATCTTACATCTGGTAAGTCAGGCTAAATTACATAGAGGACTGTGACAAAGTGGTCCTACTTCTACCCTGATCTGTTACCTCAGAGAACATTTTCATCTTAAGTTTATGGTCTTAATTTCTAATTTAAAGTCTCCTTAAATACAACATGATGTTAATTTAGTAAATTCTGGCCTCATTCAGAGTAAATTAGACAAAGAAGAAAAGAATGCTTTTCGGTGGGGCTATTTAAATTTGCACATATAGCGTCTTGGAGTTGTCAGTCAGATCCACCCTTCGCTTCGTTACATTGGTTTTATAAGACCAAAGTGGCAACAGCAAATTGCCAAACTTGAGGCTTCAAAACAGTCTATAAATAAAAAAATCACGAAGGCTGTGTCCATCTTTTACATACAGTCTCCAGTAGAAGCACTTTGCAACACATATACAAGACAGCTTTGTTTATTGTACACTCTCATGCTAAGGTGCAAACACAACGGCTGTAAATGGACACAAAATAACCTTTTTGTTCCGGCTCCTAAATGTATTTATTCAAACTGAGTGCTAGCTTTAAAACAAAGTAGCTTGGTAAATAGTGTCTGTGGGCTCCATCAAGCCTTGCGTTGCTTATTCTCACTTTGTTGTTTTGGCTGTTTGTTTCAGCGATACGAGTCCATCATCGGCTTTTATTTGCTGTTGACACAGTAGCACAAAAGCACTGATCCAAATTTATGGTTGCATTTGAGTTTGTTTTGTTCTATAGGATGGATAATGGTGGAATTTATTGCGGGTATAAAGTGGAAAGATGTTTCCACTTTATTGGTTACTGGTGTCCTTGTTCATCTGACGGCTTAACTCAGAGGCTTCCATGTGTTTTGGTAAAACTTATTAGTGCTTCAGTCGCTCTCAGCTAGTCGGTCCCTCTCTCTGCGAGTCCTATGCAGACTTGTTTGAAGCATTTCATCTCATTTCTTGTAGTTTGAGTTGCCTGAAAAATCAATTGTTATATTGACATGAATGAAGGCGAGACGTGAATGGAGTCAGTAAACACACCGTTTGTTTGTGAGAGAGTGCAGGAGTCAGACTAAGTGATGAATGTGTATTACCTCCTTTGTAAATCGTGTGTGTGTCTTTTGTGTGGCTGCATCATTGTCAAGTCTCTTGTGTGCATCGTCTAACCTGGTCGTTTGAGTTGCCGGAGCCGTGTTTGATGCTTGTTACTTGAAGGGATTCCGGTGCTGCTGAATTAGAAATGACAGCGCACAAAGGCTATCAACACCTGCTCATTTTTAGGATCTGACGGCAAAGGCAAAGCAAGCCTTTTAATGTCTTGCAGCTTCAACCGGTAGTTCTCTGGGGACACATAAAATGGTGATTCTTACATCAGTTTCAGGTCTTTTCCTGTTTACCCCCCCTGTGAAATTTGGTAACAATGTTTTGGGTGTGGGAGAACACCGTCACGTGGTGGTGACTCCCAGCCTGTCCTCGTAGCTTCTCGTCATATTCATCTTCAGATGTAGAGAAGTGCCTTTTAGTTGATTTGGCTTTTGACCAGCTTGACAATTTAACTGTCAGTTTTAATGTTACTGTTCTGCAAGTAAAACACCGTGTATGCTTTCGCCTTCCGTTTGATCTGGGAAAGACATGGTGTGTCTGGTGTTTTTTGATGGGCTGTGTTTACTACAGTGCGGCCTGCACTTGTTCCCCCTTGACTTCTAAGCGGCTCCTTCACCCAAGCATGATTCAAAGTGTTTGGCTGTCAAGATATGCTGATCCCACCCTTTTAGCAACGGAAAGCACACAGCAGGGACAGAATGCTTAATTTCTGGTGGAGCCTCTATTGAGAGGGATTAGCTCTCTATCGACGTATTTCATTATTTGCAGCATGGAAAATAATGAAATATGCCATTATTTCACACCACGGGGCTCTTGATGGAGCACAACTGGTCTAAATGGAAACATAAATAGGATCATCGGCTTAATCAATTGTCTATTGTTTACTACAACGACGTCGGCATTTATTTGTTGGCGTCAGATTGTGTGAACACGACATTTAGGGAGCTACGTTAATTATGTTTTACACAAAACATTTGTAAAGCTAAATACACTCTGGTGATCGCTTCATTTTTCACCTGCATAAAGGACATTAGAGTGACCTCAGTGGGAGATGACAACATTTGTAGGCTTGTTGAAAATGGGAGCGGATGGTTGCCGTCCTTTCTTGGACACCTTAGAGATGTGGCCCAGAATACTGGGCCCTCACGGGGCTCAGGTCACACTCTCCATTTAGCTCAATTAGCCTACACCTCAAACTGCTGCTGTTACACTGAAATCACATCATTGGGGGGTGATGGTAGATATGACCTTCATGGAATGAAAAAAACATCTCAATGTGAAGGCAGCATGGAGTGGAAAAGAGGCTAAGCAAGAAAAGGTGAACGAGTCCTGATTGTTATCATGGATGTTGGGAACGTCACTCACTTTGACAACCAGTTTGCTAGACTCATCAGACGCCGCTACCGTCACTCAGTTCATTTTACCCATGCTGCATCCCTAGCCCCCCTCATCCACTGTTGACATGTTGCTGATTGCATGATAACCCTTGAAGCATGTAGAGACTTGTGTTCATTGATCTCTCCTGTTTTTTTTTTGACTCCATTCTGCCCTTCAGGATATTCACAGGAATCTTACATTGACAGATCGCACTGCAAACTCTTAAGCTTCAATCCACATTTGATTGATGCACAGAGCTCTTTCTGCAGGCACAACACTGGGCAGAGGGTTAATTGCTGTGGAAGCAAGCAGAGGGCAAGCATGCATCCGTGCTGGAGAGATGTTCTGCTGCTGTGGGGAAAATAGTGAAAAAGGATGGTAAGAGGAGTGCTTAAAGGCGCCATAACAGCTCAGGGAGGCTCTAGATAGACACTTGGAGGCCCAAATAGCAAAGAACAGCATGTTCAGGAGAGACAGGATCAGGAATGAGACAGTGTTCAATCACATGATGTTGGTGGTGATCATCAGCAGAAGTGAGAGCTGATTTTGAAAGTAAGTTATTTAAGCCAGGATTTTAAGAAAAGCATCGACAGTGGAAAGTAACTCAGTGGACATGGCCTGGCCGTAATCGAAGAGATGCTAAATGGAAAACCATTTCTTGCCACTTCCTGGAAGGCTGTGTGTGGATCGTCCAATAAAATGTGGTTGGTGTGAGGCTTGCTTTCTTCCATACATTCAGATGAGCTAAGCAGAACTCAGCAGTCTGCAGGGCCCATACCGGGATTTGTGTAACCTCAGAGATTTAGCTTTCCAATTTATCCATGGATATTGATTCCTTTTGTCTCTGGTGGTGTTTGGCCATTGTGGCCAGTGCTACAAATCCATTAGAAAAGGGCTGGATTTTTTTCACATCTTGCCTCTCATTCACCCATTCACACAACCACCCTCACACACTGATGGTGGCAAGTTACCACGCGAGGCATCGACTTAACCAGCGGGAGTAATTTGGGGTACTTGTGCACTTGTGGAGACATGGAGCACAGATCAAGGACAAATCAAACTGCCAAATCTGCTAATCAATAGCTGCCCTGCTCTGCCTGCGGAGCCACAGCCACCCCATCAATGATGAGATAAACAGTTTCTTGGTTCAGCATTG